TTTAATGGAAGTCAATAAAATTTATTAGAATCCAATAAAATTCGAAGGAATTAAATAAAATTTAATTTACTTAAATAGTAATATAATTATCCCGGAAGCAGAGATACGTTAATTATATCCAATATAATCAAAATTCGTACCCAATATTTTCAATATTTCAAAAAGGATTTGATTCGGATTAATTCGAATATTGAAACCAAAATTTTTTTTATTTACCTGAATGTATAATAAATAAAGTCCAGGAAATTTCTCTACCGTATCTACTTTTCTTTCTTTAAACAAAAATTCCTAAGTGTTACCATTTTCTTCCGGCCACTAAATGGGAAAGGGGCCTTAAAAAACAACTGCTTAGTTATATTTATGACGTCTACACTGATGCTTCAGCATGCAAAAAAAATGTTCGCCGGTAATTTCATTGATTTCGATCGCGTTCCCGTTAATTCCATCGTCATCCCTCAAAAGCCAATTTACAGCGAATTCCTTAAAGTCCTGAAATGGCCCCATCATTCGGACGAATTTTATTTTACGGTGTCAAACGCTCCGGAAGCCACGCGCACGCGTTATAACGGTCATAAAGTCACCACCAAAAGGCACCTGGAGAACGTTAATGATATTCCGGTTGCGTCACCAGTGTACAAGTCCCCGATGATTCGGTTCCCACTTTCCGATGGCAACGACCTCGATGTGCACACACACACACACACACGATGGCTTCCGATTACATGACCATGAGGTCAATCGACGACGACCGGTTGGACGGTATTACTTAACCGTGAAATTATTTTTCACCGTTGATCGACTCGTTAGCTTCCGATCGACGCGCGTGAATTAAATCGCGCTCGACCGCCATTGATCGCCAAACAGTCGTTACGAGCTGTTACGATCGAGGCTCTTAATCCGATTCAATATGGCGTGTCTGTCGAGAAATTAATATATTGTATGTATAGAAGGCAAGACGATAAATCAATTTCATGTCGACTGTGCAATGAATGTTTCATTAAATTTGATTTAAAAATTTGTTAAAAATGTTTCGTTTATTACTTTTGATCCAACTTTATTTCTGTTTGATCGCTTTAATAGAGTATTATCCTGTCACTTTTGAAGCTATCAACAAAGGATAAATATAACGATCGATCAATTTTCCTTCGGAAATCATTGAAATTGATAAATTAATTTCGTCTCGACTATACAATGTATGTTTGATTAATTTTGATTTAAACATTTTTGAAAAATGTCCTGTTTATGACTTTTGATTCAACTTCATTTCTATTTCATCGTTTTAATCGATTATTCTCGTGTCACTCTTGCAGCTACCAACAAAGGATAAGTATGATGATCGATCAATCTTTCTTGACAAACCATTGGAGTTGGTAAATCAATTTAATCTCAACTGTACAATAAATGTTTTTTTCATTAATTTTGCTTTAACTTTATTTCTACCGAATTGCTTCGCTTGTAATTGAAAAAATGTGATGAAAATTGAGAATTCATGTTGGAAATTCAAATTAGGAATTCATGTTGAGAATTCAAGTTGCAAAATCGAGTTGGGAATTCAAATATAGAATTCAAGTTAAACTCAGATAAAAATTGGTGAACTATACTAAATGTAGTAGACGTCAGACAACCTTAGAATAAAGAAAAGTCGGCAGAGCCCGAGAAACATTGGAAATTTAAAAAATTTACAACGACTCTGTAAAAATGCTCATTGAAAAAGATATGAAACTATTAATTTTAGATATTAAATATAATATTTGTCTATTCGAAACAGATATTTTCTAATCGATTTTTTCGAATTCTTAAGAACTGCGAATTAAAGAAGTCAAGATCATCGACACTATTTAGGTAACAAGTGTAACGTCCCCTAATCATTCATTCTTCTTTTTTACCGACCAGCTGAAACGCCCGAGGAGTGTTTCATTTTTTAAAAGTCATTCCTCCTTGCATCGTATAATACGTTGATTCAGTGGTTTCGTGCCAAGACCATGTGATAAATCAACCTTCGCAACGGACCATGACAAACGTTACACCGTATCCTATAACGATCTCGCATCTTCCCATTTTTCAGTGTTCAAAGAAACTAATGTCGGTTTTGGTCCACTTACGGAGCCTTGAGAACTTGATGTTTTTTTCGAATCCGGTGTCAATCGTCACGCCACATCTTTTGTTCCGCTTCGATTGACAAATGAATAGTCTCCATTCCATTGGAATTGTGAAAACAAATTCCCATTTACAAAAACAACATAGAAAAATTGTGTTTTCGTTTGAATTATATCGCCCTAACAATTTCTATATACAATATAAACAAAGAAGATGAAAAGTTAATTAACGATGGCGATCGATTGATGAAGAAGTATAAAATTCAAAATGAAGTTAATCTCTGACAAAATACGAATTCCTCCGGTAATTTTTTTTGTTAATGGAAAAATTTTCCAGCTAATGATGAATTCGTGAACAAGCAGTCCAAACATGTTTGGATTTTTTCAATCACAAGTTCAAACAGAGTTCAGTTGTGGCGAGGCGACAAAACGTTTGATTGAACTTTGTTTGGACTGTTTGAACATCTTGTCAGGACTTCAGAGTGCAAATGTGGCGAGGCGATCGAACGCCGATCAAACGTTCGTTTAAACTTTCTTTGGACTGTTCAAACTCCTTCTCTGGAGTTCAAACGTAGTTAGGTCTTGGAGGGGCGACTAAACACCAATCAAACGTTTGATCTTAGCTCTGTTTAGACTGTTGGAACATTTCATCAGGAGTTCAAACACAGTTAGATCGTAGCGAGGCGATTAAACACCGATGAAACTTTTGATTGCACTCTGTTTGGACTGTTTGAACGTTTGACCGAAGAATGTTTGAACTGTTTGAACCTATCACCTGGAGTTCGAGCACAGTTCAATCGTGCAGAAGCAACGGAACAATGATCGAACAATTGATCTTCACTCTGTTTGGACTGTTTGAACGAGTCGTCAGGAGTTCAAACAGAGTTCGAATGTAGCGAGGCTATCGAACGCCAATCAAACGTTCGTTTGAACTTTGTTTGAGCTGTCTGAACCCCTCCTCTGGAGTTCAAACGCAGTTAGGTCGTGGTAAGGCGACTAAACACCAATCAAACGTTTGATCTTAGCTCTGTTTAGACTATTTGAACATTTCATCAGGAGTTCAAACACAGTTCGGTTGTGGTAAGGCGACTAAATACAAATCGAACATTTAATCTTAGCTCTGTATGGATTGTTTGAACATCTCATCAGGAGTCCAAACATGTTTGAACTCTTCGATCACCCATCACTATTTCCACTGTCGGAAAACCTCAAGATAAAACGTTAGTCATAGATGCTTCACTCTAAATCGATAAGATTCGAGGCGTATAACCATGACAAATACGGTAAAGAGTACCCACTGCGTTGTAGATAATAATAATAGATTATTATTTACCATACCAATCGCACCGTGTACCTACATATATCGTCGATCAAGATGATACGGTGTTTTCTGTACGGTACCACTTACCGTGTCTCGCCGCCTCGAAAACCATTTCTTTCCTGTTTCGACTTATTTCTTTTTTTTTTTTATTACTATTTCTTCCTCGAGTATTCCGTCCCAACGCGCCAGTCCCGTTATCGGCATTGCCATACGGCTGACTAAATTTATCGTGCGTTCGGATTATTGAATCGTTGAACGGCACCGGTTAAGTTGGTCAGTGAATGCGGGGCCGACGCGCGAAAGGATGAGGTCTAATGCTCGAGGACTGAATATTGAGCACTCGACAAACAATAAATTTCATTAATACGGGGCAGAAAATTTATTTTTCTTATAACGATACGGTATCTTCCGTTGCATGTAAAGAGTAGCTACGATGTGAAAACTCTTGGTATCTAAAGATCAGTTCTTTATCAAGTTGTTACACAGCTCAGTAACTATTTTTTTATTTTGAGCCGCAGCACAGTATTCGATAGATATACAGGGTGTGCCGCATAAAACAGGCCACCTAAATATCTTCTCTATCTGGGATCATACGAGAAATAATTTTTACGCGATTTAAATGGTTTCAAGAGACGAATCAGATGATGGAAAATTTTTATAAGTATATTTAAAATTTTTAGAGTTCAAGGTCGTTACAAGGTCATACTATTATATATGGATAAACGCATAATAATGTTAGCTATAACATTTAACAGGAAAAATTATGTGCATACGCGTACAAAAACATGGGTGACTTTGAAAAACCATTAACAAATTACACTTATTAAAAATTTGTTTTACATACCATCTAGTACAATGACCTATTTATGAAGGTACATAAAGAAACATGTTATTCCATTTTAAAAAAACGATGTTGACCTTCATACGACTTCCACGCGTCCACCAATCAAAAAACTATTCACATCAAATTATGTGCTCCTCGATACCATGCAAATTTGGTCTGACACGTTTTTTTTATCATCAGTAACAGCCGAGATACTCAAGTGACCCCTTTTAGCTGTCTCACCCTGTATACACTGGCCGAAATTTGTGTAAAGTCACCATGCCTTTTTATGAATTCTTATAATTATTCCATACCGGCGAAAAATTTGTGTTTGGTAGCATTTGGGAATTCATTAAAGAAAGCGTACACATCGGTTTCAAAATATAAATACATATAAGAATAAATATAAGACTTTATAGACATTTTGCAGTTTGTTTTCCGTTGAATTATATTTTGGTTATTATAAATAAATGTTATATTTGTTTTTTGAAACCGATGTGTACGCTTTCGTTAATTAATCCCAAAATCCAACCAAACACAAATTTTTCATTGGTATAGAATAATTATAAAAATTCATAAAAAAACATGGTATTTATAGAAATTTCGGCCAGTGCGTTACCACACAGAACTGTAAATTTACATAAATATCCACAGTCTGATAATCGTACAGGTAATCTTTGATCCTAAAAATTTATCTTTGTTGTTTAACAAGAATTCTAAAGAATTTATCCTTGTCCGTTTTTTCTCTGTTTAATTACAGAATGATTATTACCTGCCGCCACGATCAACGTGGTCGAGGGTCTCCCCCCAGCAGACGAAGAAACAAAGGGGCAACACCACGTGGAAAGTCGGCAGCGCGATGTTAATTATCTCCGCTATGCTGGTATTAATCGCTGTCTTCGCGGTCGCCGGCCTCGCGTTATGGATGGGAGGTTCGTTGCTGCTTTATGGCTTGCTTGATCGAATTTGCTATTTGAATATTACACCGTGAAATCCTATCGAAGAAACCGACAGAGGGCAGATTGTATTTATAAGTAATGAATCTTTGTTTCAGCCCTTCGAACAGACTCGAAAAATGGTAAGCAAAATTAAACGATCAAAAAATACTTGTAATAATATTGTAATGTAAGATAGTTTTGTTATTTAAACTGTATATAATAGTTTTGTTCTCTTGTTGTTAGACCGTGGATTTTATGCATTTTATAACATGTGTAAATTGTTAAAAACACCAATGAAAGAGAATTTTTTATATGTGTAAATAAATGATGGGTTTATTTAAGTTTTGGATCGCTAATAACGTTCAGTTGGGAAAATAAATTCTTGTATAATTGTAATTATCGGAAATTAATTTATTATACATTTGCATAGATATCCACGGCCCAGTAATAATAATCGAAAGTAAAGTTTTTCAACCAATTTATCGGATCGACAAGCGTGACGAGTTGTTGAAAATATCGAAGTTTATAAATGAACTAATTTTCTTCATTTACATATTCCAATAAAAGTTGCGAAAGATCTGAGAAAACGCATTGTTTCGAACATTATAATCATCCTTACAAGACATTATACTAACCAGTCATTTTGACATTTCGATAGTTCTAGTGTTAAATTCTGTACTCATACAATTAACACCCACAAAATGAGAGGATGTAGTTTTATCCATCACGCACCTTCTCTTTTAATTACTAAAAATTATTATATTTATATCCCTTAAATATCATATGAACATCAACAGTGTCAATAGAACCAAAAATAAATCATTTCAGCGATCGTTGGATTCTCATGCAGCTTCAGGGTGGCAAAAGGTGAGAAATACAACCCCATGTTGAAGCTGAACACGAGTATGGTGTTTCGGGAGAAGGAACGAAAATACAAAAATATAGTAAGTGTGAAAAATCGAATATTTTAATCTAACAAATCCTTTTTTAGAGTTAATCAAGGGGCTAAGATAGCTAACGAACTGTTGTCGATCGTTTCAGTTCGAACTTCTGTTCAGACGAAGCGTGTTGAACGGTGCGTATCAGAAGACGATCGTAGATAAATTCGAGAACGGCGTGCTTAGGGTATTCTTCAGGATATACTTGGACAGAAGGAAGGTGCCACGATCGATCACGAACGTCGAGGACACGATCGAAGACATAATCGCGAAGGAGACGTACTCATCGTCCTCCTTGTTCAAGGACATGGAACTGGACCTCACCACCATATCGGTGAAAAGTAGGTGTCCGTTAGATCCAACGATTTATTCCGACAAAATAAGTACGATCGGGATTACCAGTCTTCGTTTAATGTGTTTATCGATCCGTTCTACGGTAATTTAAGATGATAAATCAAACAGACTATGAATTTTGATGAAAATTCCGTATCCTCGTGGTGTAATCACCGCGAACAAAATGTGACTAGAAATTTATTTTTTTTTGTCATTGATTATAGTATGGTAAAAATAATATGACAATGACCTTAAATTTTCTGTTAAATTTGTTTAATTATAATGAAAATAAAAATGACCATTTTACTTATGGGGACTTTCTCATTCAAAATTGAAAAAAAAGACACTTTTTTAATATTTCTTTATAAAAAAACTGTTATATTTAGAAACATAATTCCTTTTGGACGCTATTATATATATTATTAAGAAGATAAAGAAAGTTTTTTCTAGCACTTTTAGTTCACCACGACTGCTGTAGAGGGCGTCTTCCAAAAGGCACGTTTTAATCGGTGAGACACTTTGCAGACGTCCTGTAAAAAATTAAGTAAAAATTCAAACGGGATTCTATTCATGAGACTTAAAACTAGACAAGAATCCACTAAAATATTTTATTTTTTGTATTATTTATCGTTTTATACATATTTTTCCGAAAAATTCGAAAAATCACTCTTTTTTGGGGGCAATTCACCCCTGTATAAAAAAGGGGGGGTAGTTTTATGAACTTTTAGAGGTTTATTGTCTAGTTTTAAGTCTCACGAATAGAATCCCGTTTGAATTTTTACTTAATTTTTTACAGGACGTCTGCAAAGGGTCTCACCGATTAAAACGTGCCTTTTGGAAGACGCCCTCTACAGCGGTCGTGGTGAACTAAAAGTGCTAGAAAAAAATTTCCTTATATTCTTCATAATATATATAATAGCGTCCAAAAGGAATTATGTTTCTAAATATAATAATTTTTTTATAAAGAAATATTAAAAAAGTGTCTTTTTTTTTTCAATTTTGAATGAGAAATTCCCCTTAATACAACACAATACAACAATTACCTTAAAGTGTATGATAGGCTAAGGTAGTCGAAAGAACCCTTAAACCGATTTAGACTACTTAAATATCATTCGATAGCTTGTTAAGAAAAAACAGTCTTTGTCAAGTTTGAACCCTCATCTCGATTAGAAGGGTAATAATAGAGAAAGTTCGGATTGTCGATTTTTCCTGTATTTATCCTGTTTAATGACACGCAAAAATTCTATAAAAAGTCTAATAGATAGCATATACCAGGGACCTTGTGTTAGAGAATTTTTTGCGATTTTTTCATTAAGTATCCTAGGTGAGAAAGAAGATATCAAAAACGCTAAAGAATAAAAAAATATGTTTTTTTCTTATTGAAGTTTTAACGGCACCACATTTATCCTTTCACAGTAGTAACATATTATAATAAGTAGTGTCCTTAATTTTTTGGAGATTTTTTAGTAGGGTGCGCCGTAGTTTAAAAAATCTTAAACCGATTTTTGAAACTACGGCGAATTCACTTAACCTATAAAACCTGAACTTTTATTTTAAAAAATCTGTTTTATTTTTTATTTCCATATTTATAAACATATAAATTCTAAAACACATCTAGGAATGTCGAGTTTACTTTTTTTTAATATGTTAGGAAGTCGTCACATTGTCTTTAGATTAACTCCCTGAACATTCTACTTTCTGTATTAAATTCTATAAAATCGAACGTTATGAAAACGCCACGCTTGAGGTTATAGGGTTAATTATAATGAAAATTAAGATTACTATCTCACTTACTAAATTATCATTTATAAGTGCCATACAGTATAGTATATTGGAATTTATCGTTTTATGATTATACAGGCGGTTAAAAACTAAAACATTGAAAAATCTCAGAAAAAATGAGAAATCTCAGAAAACTACTTTCAATCGAATGAATTAATTTTATTTTCCAATACCGGTTTTCATTAATTTCGTTATATCGGGTTCGAATTGTTATTTAAAATATTCCGTCCAGACTGACAGTTTAATTCGCTTCAGGAATAAACCAAGACGCATCTGGAGGTCAAAAGCAGGCGCAACAGAGGAACGCAATGATCACGAAAAACGGTCTGCTACGTCCAAGTAGGAACAATTCCCTGATCACAAGCCCGAAACCGAAGCCAAAACCAAGCAAACCGGAATCCAGCGAGCCGGAGATCGACTTCAGTAACATACCAACGATCCAAGGAACGTACAAAGCGTCGAAAGTGAACACCACCGGCCAGGCAAAGGCAAACGCCACCCAAGAAACCGCCAAAACGCAGTCAGACTCGAAGAACAGTACCAAAATATCGTTACTTCAAGATCCATCCACAACTGAAATCCCTAGTATACCCACTACAGTAATCACCGAGATAAGTCACATAAATGCTCAAACCACATCTCTGAAGATCACAGAAAAAGTAAATCACACAGCACAAGAACATAGGCCAAAGGAAACGGTCGAGGAACCAGCGAAAAGGATCGTGCCCACATCCACGACGTCCACGACTCAAGAACAAGAGGATATCTTCAAAGACTTCCGAAAACCCGACTTGGAGACATCACCGTGGAAGCCAATAGTTCCTGGTTACGTGAACACCGAATTCAAATTGCTACCCGACGGGAAGACCAATTACAAAGTGAATTACAGCAACACGAACGCAGGAGATGTTCGCCCAGAAGCGTCCATTAGGGTCCAAAGCGATACGCCTGAAACGTCCACGACACCATCACCAGAGGCGATGAACCCTTACGTGGACGTTCCAGGGATGAGTGGCTTCGACATAGAGGACACGGATTTTCCCCACGATCGTATCGTGCCCCAGGAGATGGTGAACTTCAGGGTGAACGGGAAATTCAAGAACAAAATCCCTGGACTGATGGAGGACGGGCAGATCTTCACAGCGCCATCTGTGGTCACAGAGGACAGGCCAGAGATAGAGGTCTCTGGGCAGCTACCGTCTGAAACTTACAATATAAAGCTTCGAACGTCTCCAGAAAGAGCGGAAAGCTCGTTCACGAAACCGTATCGATCGACCAGCGAGAATGAAACTGGATGGAGAGTCTCTGGAACGTCGGTCTCTTACACGATAAACGAAGGAGGGATCAAAGATGGTGATCATGCAGAGGAGGTAGCTAGAACTCCTGATTCGATCGTAGAAAATGGAAGACAAGATCAGAATTCGACTGGTCTCTTGACGACGATAGGTACCAGCACCCCAAAATCACGTAGACCGGTTCAAGCTAATGTGGAGACGACCACAATAGCGTCCAGAGTTGGGGTAGCTGTACCTGTGCCTGACACAGACGTTGAATTGGAACCTAGGCACAGATACTCGGATATTCAAACTATCACTGCGCATAATGGTGCTTTGCAGGATAGAAAGGTCGATAAGAATGGCCAAGAGCCTGTGTACACCAGCTACAAGACGCCAGAACTTAATGGGGCAGGGTTGAAACCGAGTCTGGTTGAGATTTCTGGAACCCTGAAACCCTTCAGGCACACGATACCTGTGGACAAGATCTCGTCTGTGGTGAGCTATGTTGAAAATGATAAAAATAGACAAGGTGTAAATACTGTTACAGATAGGATATTCAATAACGAAAATGATCGATTGACTGTGGACGCGAAGAGGCAAGAAGGTAGTTCGAAGATGAATGCAACGGTAGATGATCAAACGATATTGCTACCGAAAATGGGGCAGATCGTTGAAATGGAAACTTTCATGGACACATCGAGGATCAATATTCCAATGAAGAACGCGAAGGTCGAGCTGTCCGACGGTGTCAGATCAACGGAGCCGAGTACCCAAGGTCTGATAGACGACGGCAAGTTCTTGAAGCTGGGAACAACCGAAGTCTACTCGGAGATTGTCCAGCCAGCTAACAATAACGTAGACAGGTTAATTCTGAAGAACGAAGATGCAAAGATACCGCCTGGAAGACTGACACCTGGGACATTGAGGAACTCCACATTCATCGAGATCGACACTTTGCAACACACTCCTGGGGATATAGGGGATACCAACGGGCCAAAAGACACACTATCTGAAAATACGGAGGAAGCATCAGACTGGATCCCGAATGGGACTTTAAGCAAACCGTCCAGTTTTATAGAAACTAGGAAAAAGGTCTACAACGATACCCTAAAGGCCTATGTGGTCGAGAACCTGGTCACCCTAGCGCCAGCTAAGAGCCACACTGGCGTTGGTAGACCCATCAGACCAAGACCCAAGCTGGACAAAGAGAAACTACCAAAGATCGTCGAGAAACCGTCGAGTCGAGACTCTTCGGAGGATGCGATTCTTCTGGAACAGTTGTTCGGAGTGCAGAGTCGCGACAGGAACACCACGAAACGTCATTCCAGTCAGTTGGATCAGTCTGATGAGTCGCATAGAGGACACCCAAAGATCGAGCAGATAGTAGAGGTGGTTACGTCGATCAGCACCAAAGTGTCCTCGAATCTTGGCGACGATCCTGTCATTCTGAGGCTAATGATCACGAATTCCACGTCGATTCCGGTGATACACTCGGGCCATCAAGACGAGGAGACGTCGACGCCGCCGATCTCGATACCGCAGGACTTTTCTGCGGACAGCCAAGAGGAGGATCGATCGTTCAGGGATCATCGACCAGAAGTGAGCCGAGACTCTAGCAAAGGGATGAAGTCCTCTGAGTCCTCGAGTGTGCAGACATCGGACAGGAAGATTTCGGCGATCGAGGAGAGTCAATACCTTTTGGAGAAGCTGAAGCAACTCGCGGAGATCGGGACCGATGATAAACCGGTGAAGAGCAACAAGAACAACTCGAAGCCTGCCGTGAATCTAAAGTTGGACGCGACGTCACAGGCCAGACCGTTGAATTTTGATAAACTGAAGGAGATCGCGGATATAGCAACTGGTAGCGAAATGCTGATGAACTCCAGCGCTGGATTCACAATGACTCGCGACGGTGTCGAGATATTCACGAAGATATTGAACAAGATGGAGGATCGGGCTGATAAGATGATCTCTACCACGGAGAAAAGCAGAGAGGCTGGTAATTGTCTGGCAAAAAGTTTCATTTTTTAACAATCCGGGTATCATTTTTGTATTCATTTTTTAAGTGATAGGATTGCAAGCACAAAAAAAGTAGTTATCTATAACTTGTTAATTGGGGATAACGAATTAACTCGTCATTCGTATTCGTCCCCATCTGTCGATCATTTTTCGCTTACATATTCATTTTTTAAGCGATACTATTGCAAATGCAAAAAGTGGTATTATATGTAACGTGATAATTACGGATGACGAGTTAATTCGTCATTGATATTCGTCTCCTCTATCAGTCGTATTTCGCTTTCTTATTGACTGTGCCGATCAGTTTTGGTTGTTTTTTTTGCCAATCAAATTCAATATTTTTTCATTAAATTTAATACTGTTTTACGAACTAAAATATTGAAATGTAGATACCAAATTGCTGGTTAAGGTGTATTAGATCCTGTAAGCTTTCCAATTTCTTTATGTCACAGGCAAAATGAAAGAACTTTGGGTGCCTATGGGAACTGAAGGATTAAAAAAGAATGTGGTGGATTACCTATTTGCGCATCTAATATTCACTGAACGAATAGTTTTCTATTGATTGTACACCGAGTCGGCCAAACCTGCACAGCCAGATTTTGTCCAATGCCTGTTATAAACTTTTGTAACCAGAATGCCAACAGATTTCATGCAGGATCTGCTATAAACAATTTGCGCGCAGATTGGCGGCAAATCATGCAACGTAACCTAGGTTATAGATTGACTTAGGTTAGTTAACCTAGGTTACGTTGCAGGATCTTCCGCCAATCTGCTGCCAATCTGTCACAATCTATTTCACGATATTGTCAGCAGACTCTGCCTACAAAACCCAAGTCAAGTGCGGAAACAGATAACTATGAATTTGTAGACAGATTTTGTCAATATCTGCTGCCAATCTGCACGCAAATGGTTATCTGGGCATGTCTACCGCGAAAGAATCTTCGTTATAGTGATTTTTTTCGTCTTTTTAAATACGTCTGCTGATTATTTTAAATACTTTATGCCTTGGACAATTTTATATGGCATTTTATTGTCTTAATGTGAAAGCAGGGGACCAACAGATAAAAGAATAAACTGTAGAATCGCAAATAGTTTTTTCTTTTAATATAATTATTTTCGTATGATGTCGATCGACGGTTTTCAGACCAATGCAATTTCATTTCCGCAGACGATTGTAACGGTTTCCTATGCAGAGACGGTAAATGTCTACCTGCGAGCGGCAGATGCAATATGTTGGGTGAATGTACGAATTCAGAAGACGAGGCGAACTGTACGTGCGCGGACTTTCTGAAAGCGCAACTCCTGCATCAGAAGATCTGCGACGGGATCGCGGATTGCTGGGACTATTCCGACGAGGCTGACTGTGGTAATTTTGAGAATTTATTTCTTTTTTTCTTTACTTTGTATCGACACTTTCGAGACCGATAAGTCAGCACCGGAGTCACGATGACACAGCAGGTGGGTCATGCACTGCTGGGATCTAAATATGTACACTGTTCAACACGTAAAATGCCTCACAACCGTTAATACGCGTTTATGGTAGATCTTTATATACTGAATACGAATCTGCAAACGGTTTTTTCCCAGCACGTACAGTTTCAAAAAAATTCATTTTTTTTTAAACTGCAGATTTTCAACTTTGGAGGTGTATTGTGTTATTACAGCAATAGTTATTCAGTTGCTTTTGACACGAAATAATTCTCTGAACCGTTTCGAACAAAATTATGTAAATTATTATTATATTATAGACATATAAATACGATTTAAATAATGGTCAACGTGAAAAGAACACCGGAAACGCACAAATTTGTGCTGATAATGTTCAATTTATTTCAAAAATTAGGGGTCTAGAAGAAAATCTAACCGTAGTATGCGATAGAGCAGACCTTACTTAGAAGAAAGTACTACTTATGTATGACATAATCTAGTAGTAGGTTTAGAAATGTCTAAAAATATCTCAAAAAAATATCGTTTCAGATTGTTCAGATAAAATTCTAATTATAACTAACAATAATTCTAAGATATAATAAAATCACAATTATTATATGATTATCATTATATTATTAATATGATTATTATAATATAATAGTAATAATTATTTTCACATTAATATTACAATATTATCTATTTCTAAGCGTTTTCTTTTAATTGACGAATATTTTGCGGACTTTTGGTTAGATTGGTGCAAAGAGGGTCAATTCGTATGCGGTAACAGTCGAACCTGCGTGGACCAGGACAAAGTCTGCAACGGCTTCACCGATTGTCCCGAAGGAGAGGACGAGAAAAAATGTGCAGCTTTAATAGAGGACGATGCGTTATTGAATTACAATCGAGAAGACACGTCAGATACAACCGAAAATAATTTATCAGTACCTGTAACGAAAAACGCGTATTTATTGCCTCAAGATTTTCCGGAAACCGAATCCAGCACCAACAAAGACGCGTTCTTCGACCAAGAAGCGGTCGAGTCCGCCATCTTGGAATCGACTACTCTAACCACATTAAAAAATGACGCTCAACTGGAGAAATTTAAAAATTCTAGGAACGAATCAGTGAATAAAGAAGATACCCTTACTGATAATTCTAACAGTACTGTTTTCGTCTCCGGAAGAGAAATATCGTCGAACGGAAAAGATACATTGACTCACGGGAATTCGATCCACGTGGCCGGGGAGAAGAATGGCTCGTCGTCCACGATCAATTTTCGAAAAGAGATCAACAATTATAACGAGAAGGGGTACATAAATATTCGGAAAAACGGGAAATGGGGAAAATTGTGTCTGACCGGGATGGACGGTCTTTTTCAAGGAAGACAGGCGAGCTGGAGCATCGAAGATCTAGGAAGAAAAACGTACCAGTAAGTAAACAAAAATTCAACTTTTTGTATTTACACACTCGACGTCTTCGACGAGAAGTTGTCGATCTTTGAACCATGTATAACTTCGTGCAGAAAAATTGTACAGTAATCCGCCTGGGGTCGTTTTGAAAGGCAAAGCATAAATTCTATCTAAATGTATCACTTAGATTTCCCTCGAAGATACTTTTACACTAGGAAACGAGGTTAGGAAAGTCAAAATGATTTTTTTGTCGAAAATTTTACATGAATGTAAATTCAATGTCTATGGAGTTTGAAAAAGCTTTTTTGCGATTCAAATCACCATGCGTTTAAAAACTGAAATCTCCCCTGCATAATGACAGCTTAAAAGTTTATGTGCGATTTTGTTTTCACCGGATTCTTGCATCTTGAATGAAAAGTACCTATGCCATCGTCGAACACTTTGGTTCATTAATTTTCATTAAATTTTCCACAAAAATAGCTTTCACTTACGAGATTGGTTAGAGACAGTTTAAGAAAAAGGTATCATTGTTCTCTTAATTGATAACTAAAACTTTTTGAAGGTCACTAAAAAAGGTGACTTTGACAACATATCCCAAATAGCACATGACACCTCAAAGACGACTTAATGACGCCTCAGACCTAAAATATCCGTAAAATGGACGTCTTCAAGGCGTCATGTGCTATCTAGGATATCAAGGTCAAGGTCATCGGTCATTTTACTTATCAATACTACTCAAGTACGATACGAAATTTTTTTCAATAATAACTTTTCAATAAACAATGACCCTCGACTAATACGTTCACAACACTACCTGGACAACATATTGAAAATTCATGGAAATCAGAGGTGGCTCCGTTATTGTAAATATTTACCCAATTATTCAGAATAAAGGTTCTTTGTAACCGTTTCGATCGAAATCTTTATAATAACAGTTTGAAACGGTTATTTTTCGGAATCGTTTCAAGTCTTGGTATTTGTTATTGATGCATGAAATATTTCACAGAGATTACGAGACCGTCGAGAAGGTGTTGGACGAATATCCAGTGTCGAGCCGTTCCTATTACACTCTGTCGTACAACGAGAAACCCCTGGACAAGACGATCCTGACTTTCAAGCCGTCCATGTGCCCGAGCGGCGAGGTTCTCAGGGTCAAGTGCAAGAACCTTGAGTGCGGCATAAGAACGCAGGCTCCATCGCAGGCCAGGTATACTCACTGAACCAGTTTTTCATAATTATATACCGGCCGAGGAACATTTATAAAACTATTTGTGTACAAAGTGCGCTCGGGGATAATGCCCCCACCAACGTTCCAATAATAACAACATCAGCCGTTTAATTTGACAGTAGTGCAACTTCATTTTTTCTTTCGTGAAAAGATATTGGTCGATTTGTACGTGATCGCTCGAAAAATATCGATAAACAAGTTTTGTCGATTTCGTTAAGAATTTAAATTGTTATGCAACAGTTTATATGAGAATCGTCTAAAAAAAATCAATTTTTTCGTGGGCCATAAATGGACTTACACGAGGACCATAATTATCGAATTGTGACGGTCGTAAGTTCGGAAGCATTTGAATTTCAATTTCAATTGAAAGAACAATTTCTTTCGCAACGCAAAGTTATATTGAAGACTATGTAAAAAAAATTCCCGAAAATAGCCAAGTGGGTCGGTTACATTTACCGTCAATTAATATTCAGGCGATTCTCAGGAGAAAAACGGGAGTGCTGCTTGCTTGTTCGCCTCAATTGTACTAAATACCATTATGAAACAAATTAAAAAATTAATTTACTAAATCCCATAATTCTGTAATTTACCTTTATAGTCTCATCCCAGATAGCACATGACACCTTGAAGACGGTTTAAAGGCACCTCAGACCTAAAACAGCCGTAAAATGGACGTCTTCAAGGCGTCATGTGTTATCTGGGAAGGAACTTTCCGTGAATAAGTTTACATTAGTATTATTATTATTATAAATAAACTCACGTACAGCTTCATCTCATAACGTGTAACGCTAGGCCAAAACAGGCAATGCAACTATCCTTGGCTGCGGTGAACAATTGTTTCTGCTATTTCTGCTTTGTGGTGCCCGATGATGCTTCCAGGATGGTTTTGGGCATTTCATAAAAAAAATAGTCTTTTCGAAATACCGTGATAAACAAAGAACGACAATGAAAAAATTAAATTCCCAGATACCACACGTCGCCTTGAAGGCGGCTTAAAGACGCCTTATTGTTAGACTTAAAATAGCCGTAAAATGGGCGGCTTCAAGACGTCATGTGCTATCTGGGTTTGGAGATGTACATGCATAAGACGTACGCATTGAAGCAGATCGAATGTTTCTCGACGTTCCAGAATAGTCGGAGGTGGTAGCTCCTCGGCCGGAAGCTGGCCATGGCAAGTGGCTCTTTACAAAGAGGGTGATTACCAATGTGGCGGTGCTCTTATCAACGACAGATGGATCTTGTCCGCGGCGCATTGCTTTTATCAGTAAGTAGTGAACTAGTTATTAGAAAAATAAACTTGATAAATTCTTATTTTTGGTATATATGAAACGATATACTACTTCGCTGGCTGATACTTTTGACTACAGACTCTCGATTATTGTCCCGAACTCGGGTCCGCGCCGGGACAATAATCTTATAGGGAGAAATGCTTCAAGCCCTCGTAAATTCATTTTTTGCCCGAAGCCCGAACCTCGTCAACAAAAAAGAAGAAACACAGTATGTGCTTGACAGGTTCTACGACCTCCCCCCACCCCCACCAGTGGTGGGAATAACGCCTGGACAATAATCGTGTAGAACAAGCCAAAAGATAATCGAGGAGTCTGTATATATGTATAAATATTATCAACGAGAACTATTACTTGGAATGGATGCAGTTTAATTTTCCACGAAACATCAACCTCTTGTTTCGATGATAAAGTATACTGAAAATTGTTTAAAAGCAGTTAAGATAGACAATTAATTTCAAGTACATACAATGAACCTCTTTAAATGCATTCATAAACTTGGAAACAGTAAATTAAACTCGTTATTTGATTTGCTGAATGGCTGCTTCATTTTCTAGTAAAGACTATTACTTAATAAAAAATAATTCAGTACAGAGACTACAGCTACTGTATGTACTTCAACAGATTAATTTCGTATTCAACGAATTATTCCCAAAAGTTAAAGTATCAATAATAATTATGAGTATGCTTGCTTTTCAAGAGTGTTCAGAACTTGTTGCACCTCAGTTTGTCTAATACTGATTTATAATATTAATGGAGAACAAGCAATGCAATCAAAACCACACTGATATCACTTTATAGAAACTGTGAAAAACTTGAGTAGTAGAAGTGGAAAATATCTTTTGTAGTGCTCAAGATGAATACTGGGTAGCAAGAATTGGAGCAACCCGCAGAGGAAGCTTCCCCAGCCCATACGAGCAAGTCCTCAGGTTGGACTACATATCCTTGTATCCTGAGTACATTGATAATGGATTTATAAACGACATAGCAATGCTGAGGCTCGAGAAACCTGTCATCTTCAGCGACTACGTTAGACCAATATGTCTTCCTGAAGCAGAGCCAAAAAGTGGTACCATGTGCACAGTGACTGGATGGGGACAGCTGTTTGAGATTGGACGAATATTTCGTAAGTGAACTTCCATGCTTTTACACTGAAACCTCAAAAAAAAATTGAAAATGAAACAAAACAGAAAAAGTAGATCTCCTTATTGGAACATATAATGACACTTCTTTAAAAGGGTATGCATATTTCACCAATTATTAGGATGTTAATCACCACATAATAATTCCATTTTCACTGAACAGCGGACACCTTGCAAGAGGTACAGCTTCCTGTGATCTCGACAGAGGAGTGTCGAAGGAAGACTCTCTTCCTTCCTTTATACAGGATCACGTCCGGTATGCTTTGTGCAGGACTGAAGGATGGTGGAAGGGACGCCTGCTTAGGAGATAGTGGTGGACCTCTGGTTTGCTCGGGATCTGATAATAAATATACTCTTCATGGTGAGTACTTGTGTCCTCATGAGACATAAAAAAAAAATACTTCTTCCACAATCAATAAACCTTGGAGCTGTATCCATCGTTTAAAATCTAAATCTCAAAGAAGGGTACAAATGAAACAAATTTCTCTTACAGTGTCATATTATTACATACTAGGTACTCAAAAAACAAAAGTCTATTAAGTACTAGAATAATTAAGATCAAGTAGATTCTAGTTTGGAGCACCATTTTGGATTTTGTTCAAATTCGCATATATTGTAGTCTTTAGCGATATATAAACATATCTCGAAAGATTTTTGAAAATTTTTTAAATTGTTAATTTTACAGCTGTTTGAAATTTAATAGAAAATCGTAGTGGCTATCATAGTAATTCTACAAAATCACTTTCTGATAAATTGTTTCCCGTTTTATGCACCAGGTATTACTTCAAACGGTTACGGCTGCGCCAGGCCAGGTAGACCAGGTGTCTACACAAAAGTTCATCATTATCTTCCTTGGATCGAGCACACGATATCACGGGACGACATTCGATCGACGATGGTGTCCTGCAAAGGTCATCGATGTCCTCTTGGTGAATGTCTGCCGAAATCTCGAGTGTGCAATGGCTTCTTAGAGTGCTCGGACGGCAGCGACGAGCGCAATTGTCCTGTCAATCTTTAACGAGAAAAGACTGCTCCACTTATATTAAGTCTGTCAGAAATAACTGTCGTTCATTTTGTTTCTCTGTAATCTCATATTTAATATCAATCTGGAACACTATGGTTACTGATCAATGCCACAATATTTTTCATATTTTTGGTAAGTTCTGAACGCCTCTCCCAGTTTGTTATGGAAACAACGAATAGAAATAGCGACAGAACTTTCCGATGCATTTAATGAATTGACTCGTTGCTTATTTATGTGCCCGTACGAATGAAGGAAAAGAGAATAATATTAATTGCAACGAAAATGGAAAAAGTGAAATTCAATGAACGATTTTGTTGCTCGATGAAAGGTGGTACCGCACGGACAATTCTTGTGAAATGCAAAATGTTCGTTGGATTAACGTATGTGCAATATAGAGATAGAAATCAAAAGTTTAAGATAAATCGTTAGAGAGTGTACAGAGCGTGTCGGTGTATGGTGTTAATTAGAGGTTTCGGTTATTATCGATTAACCACACTAGGAACACTGGTTCGTACTCTCCTACGCAATTATCTTTACGTTTGATCGTTGACATTATCGCGTTTTTCGTGACAGCATCGACTGTCAACAGTTAGATTAATTCGCGGTATTATTCGTTCGACGACCACGCGAATAATCGAGAAGAATTGTATCTTTGAGCCATTTTGTGTGACTCGGAGATACATAACGTAGCTATATTTTAGACGAGCCTGGCATTTTGGTTCTTTCACGTTGCAAAACGAATCTTAAGGCCACGTATACCGTTTTCAGTCTCTTCGTGAGTTTAACAAATATTAGCTGTAATATGTATATATCGTGTCTAATGTATTATGTAAAAAAACACGTGCTAATAAATAAGAATTTTTAGAAAAATACGATCATAATGTTATTACCTTACAGAAAAATATGTGACTACTGGTTGCTGAAGTAAATAGTAATTACATTGGACTCCAAATAAGAATAATTTAGTATTGTTATACCACTGGCCCGTTCCTGAAAAGTATTGAAAAATAATGTCACAAGCACATCGCAGACGGTATATTATTTCATTTTATTAGGACAATTAGAAATAGCACTGAAAATCATATTCAGAAATAAATATTGATTATTCTCGATATAATACTCTATCGATATTAAAAACGAAAGCTGTTAGAGTCTACTGTGTTAAGATACAGTACGATTCCCCTCGGAGTAAATAACACCTCAGTCAAATAGTCGTCGTTCCGTAATTAAACCACGTTGTAATACCATCGGAAACGATAGAAAAAGAAATCGGACCGTTCGAGAGTTCCCCTCGCGTCCATTTCCGTTTAAAACAGGACCGAACTGTTGAATTCATTGTTAATCCTAAAACGATCTCCTCGTTCTAAATCGTGCCACCTTTAAGTAGAGCGCTATCATTACATTATACCTACGATTAGCACAATATACCAAGTGGTAAAAATCACAATGTAATTTTACGTCACGTTCAAACAGCACGCTTTTTTTTATGTTTTCAAATGTCGAGTTCAACAATATTCCCTTATTGTTCGCGGTAACCTCTCGTCCTTAAACGGTTGGACCCCATCGAGACTTTTGCACAACCATTTTGATCATTTTACACACGCATAATCTCCAATCGACGTGCCGAGAGATCCGACGTTTCTCGGATAAATCAAACATTAAATGGATGACAAGTTGGTTAGCTGATCAAGGTCATTCAAAGATCTAAATATCAATACGGTCATTGTTGCCTTTTTCTATGTGATTTCTTGCAATTATTTCATCGAAAAAACGACATCTGACCAATTCAATAAATATTTTTCGTAACGTCATTCGTAATACAAAAAGTGATCCTGACCAGCAAACTAATACGGCACATATTTTGATCACGAAATTATCACTCTATTTACATGTGATGAATGTTTATAAAATTCGGAAGACTCGTGAACCAAATCGCTCTCCGGGTGACGTGACAGAATTCCCACGGAATTGATGATAGATGGTAACGAATGTTCCTTGCTTGCAAAAGTCTAGAGGTATTAATATCCAACTATTGATATGACGTCCCTAAACGTTGTATAAATGTCTCCAGAATGTTTCCGAATTCTATGTTCTCGGATGCGCGCGAGCGCGTGTCGGGCGACACTCGCTCTGATGCGCCCAATTAAGAAAAATTCGAGTGGCAATTCCTTGGCGAGTCGTCGTCGTCTGTGTATCATTTTAGCGACCGGTTTGGGCAAAAGTTCGATCACGATAAAAAATGGTGTAAATGTATAAAAGTGCGGTCCAAAGGTAGCAAAACTTTTGTCCATACCTATATTCATAATGCAACCTACAGTCACCCCGTATTTCAGCACCAGTGTGCGAACGAACGTTTTATTATTTCTTCTTTTTTTTTTTTGTTTCCGTGGAGGACGACGATCTCATCTATATCAACGAATCACAACCGCTAGAGATCTAACTAATCCTATATTACAAAATATCGTGTCGCAGATTATCGAATAACCCGCTCATTCAAATACCGTGAGTGTATAATGACCGTTTGACCGTGGCAATCGTTCCCGTTTTCCATATTTTTTTTCATTTTCAACCGGAGTCGATGATATCCACACGAATCGTACAGATACATCGAACGAGATAGGACTGTAACGTTGTTTTGAGTCGAATTGTCTAAATTCTAACTGAACTCTCTCTCTCTCTCCCCCTCTGTGCCCCTCCCCTCCCAACCCGAGAGCGAGACACGGAAATCCATAGGCGCGCGGATGAGATTATTCTTTTTCTATTTAATCGTCCTTCTCATGATTCTTAAAATTAATCGAAGAAGCAATAAATAAGAAATCGATGAATCCTCTGAAGATGATACCTCTAATAAGCCGTACTCTTAATCGAATAGTTAGTTTAGGCTATAAATGATTAAACACTGACGGTGTCTTTAGCCCAGCGAGTCGATCGCGATCGTGCTAAGACCTTTCGGACTGACCGTGGTCTTGAATTGCTCCGGTACGGGATACTCCGCCTGTAAATATACAGAATAAATAAAATTATTAATATACCGACGTGTTTTACAAACTAGTATACAGGGTGTAACAAAAATGTTGCAGGTCCCTGAAATGGGACACCCGTGAGGCGATTTGGAACAAGTTTTTCTTTAGCAAAATGTTATCCGAGGCTTCGTTAACGAGATATTAACGAAAAACCCCGACCAATCAGAGCGCAAATTTGACTACCAATCGCAGCGCGTAGCCAACGTTACCGCGGGAACTCAGTCGACAGACTCGCGCTCTGATTGGTCGGGGTTTTTCGTTAATATCTCGTTAACGAAGCCTCGGATAACATTTTTGCTAAGGAAAAACTTGTTTCAAATTGCCTCGGGAATGCCCAATTTCAAGGACCAGCAACATTTTTGTTTCACTCTGTATAATAATTAACTGCAGAAACGTACGTAATCTCCGTTCCCTTTCGGCACCATAACATTCATTTCGCTGGACTTGCTGCTAATTAATTCAACATCCAACGAGTCCGCGCTTAGATACATCTGGCAACCGTCTGTTTTGTCGATGGAGATGGTGGGTACCTTTCCTAGGACCTGCAGCAAAACAACAAGAAAAGATGAAAATAATTAACCACTTTCAATGAACATTATACAAATATTACAAGCAGCATACTCTTTCGTTTGTCTGCTAGAAATAAAACACTTATTTAACACTGTCAAAAGTCAGTGTCAACTCTTTCTTTCTTTTCTTTTAAACACAAGTTAATTGACCGACCAGATGTGCTATGATCATATATCATTATTCATCAGAATAATATTTTTCGAAGTGATTTGTAAAGCCAGATGTAAAGATTGGAATTCCTTTCGTTTTTTAAAGATTTTATTATCACAAGGCTAAGACAGAAAATGTATTAGATTTGATGGTAGCTTTACTATTTATGGTATTTCACATAGTCGTGTATGCATATAATTCGCAGTCTACTTATCACACTCGTGTAATTTTACGGATGACGATGACAAACACAAGATACAAAGTGTACAGAACAATACATGTGCCTTTTCTGAACAATCCTGTACCCGACATAAACATATATTCGCGTTCTCTATCGACGAACAATTGCAGCTCACGGTTTCTCTCGATTCTGCAGATTTCACGCGGTACAGTTCCTGAACAATAAAGTAGGCACGAGTGATGACTTCTTAAGACCCACAGTCCTGACAAACCTATCTCCAGTCAGAATGCATTGGCAGTTCGGTAAGCGTTCGCCTGCCATTGTTCTATCTACAATTTACACGTTCCAGGCTAACTGTCACAAGAATTAAACCATAAAAAAACTGTTAACCAATACGAATCACATGTCTGCATGTGTGCAGGCGGCAACCTTGAACCTGTGCAAATGGTCTGCGAAGTCGATTGGAAGGAGTGCCCAAAAGCTGTCGCGAATTACGTATGGAACGAGATTGTGACCGACGTCCTGGACTGTCTGTCCGAAAGGATAGTCTTGCAGGTGCAAGGAATCATACTTTTACATTGAAACAAATGTCCAATTGGAAATGAACGTCCTTCTCGAAACTGATTCGATCACTTCCACCTAAGTGTGAAAAATTAAGAAAAAAAAGGATTTCTGGTATTAGGGCGATTTATCAATAATTTTTCATCGTGTTCAAAGGTCCTGTGCACGTTCCTCGTATGCACCCTATTGGTCCGCGTAATACACTCCAAAGCGAAGCGCCTAAAGAACGTCGTGAACGACAAGGAGATCCTAAACCGAGTCGGATACAAGGTCGAGGACCTTGAACTGAGAGTCAACATACTAACGTACAAAATGCAGTACGGCTCGTGGCCTATGCCTCACCAGGTCCAGAAGTCTAGCTTCAAGAAACGCCTACGGAATCTCCGATTAACTCTGTCGAGTGCCAACGACAGGACCGAGTGGATAAAACGCGTATTACTGAGGTATGTTTTGGTCATTCCATTATTAGGTAGCACCATAAATTCTCGGCCTAACTAGTCTAGAAAATGAACGGAAGTATATATATATATATATATATATATATACAAGTTTATTTATATTTACAATTTACGTGTACGTATGCAATCACGTGAAACTTTCGCTTGGACTGCTATGAGACCTACGTCATTTCCTGCTCCTGGATTACTACTGTCTGACTACTTAGAAACCCTAATTTCATCTCCTACTTCAGGATTATTACTGTCACGCATGCGCAAATAGGTTAGGTCGAGAATATTTGGCGCGATTGGAATCATCCAAGCTTCTTTTCTTCAATCACTAAAGAGTCTTAGCTCCTTCCAGAACCCTCAAGTTCGATAAACACACCTGTAATGCTAGAATATAAATGGGGTGGTAGCCACATGTGAACTTTCAAACATCCTATATGTTCAATATGTAAATCGTAGTCATTTTTCCAGTCCCAGAAGAGAGGAGTCGTTCATTTCGTTTTCGAAAAGCAATTACTATCCCTCCAAGCATCGTCTAACGGAGTTATTCGACGCCAAGAAGAATTCCATCCGTCCTCACCACAAACGTGACTCTTTGCCCCTAGAATATAGCAGCATGTCATCGAAAAGCGACAGCGACAGACCTCTAAAGTATGATTCCAGTAATGACTTCCATACCGCTCGCAGCCATTATTTCCATACCGATCACGCCCCAATCACCTTCAATTCTTTGACTCTGTACGAATTCGTTGTTTTTCACCTTGTTAAACAACTATCGCTTCCAGTTAATGTTAACCAGAAATTGTATCGAGAACATGACCTAACCTAGACCAGGGAGCACTTGGATACTCGCATAGCAATTACGAACTACGCGCAGTATAAAAATCACTGGTGTACCCACCAGAAAAGACGATTACTATAAATGTAATCGGTACTTTAAGGTGGTTGTGTTTACAGGATAAATTCCGTGTGTAAAAAAGCGACCTGTCGAAGGCGACACAAAGTGTCGAAAAGCGAGAACTTCGAGGTGCAGAGGAGGGAAGCAACTTCAATGATCCCGCTATTGCCGCGAAAGTGCAACAGTAAATCGACGAGCCGATTAAAACATAATTCGAGGCTTCGTAAAACCGAGGGGGTGCCTGGATCTTGCGGGAAGTTTACGAGAACCATGGACGAATGCAAACAATTCTTACAGGAGTTACACAGCAGTAATAAGAATCTCGGATTGGTCTGTAGTTCCATGGAAATCAGTGACGAATCCTCCGTGAAAAATTGCTGGTCAAATGCAAGAGTAAATGTGGGTGATATATGTTAACGGACCCGTTAAATGCTCGTCTCTCGTCTTTCGTTTGGTTACAATGACCTGACCAACTGTCGTGTAATAACTAATTGAACAACTGTCTCCCGTTTTGTATTACAATGCACCAGCATTGCAATGAGTTAGCTAACAAAAGTGGACATTTTGAAGTTTTTGTGAATTTATTAATATTTCACATGAGTCCTACAGTACGTAAGCATATCTTAAACAGACTCCAGAATGGATGTGCTCACAGTTAGAATTAATTTTGACAAGCATTTAACGAAACCTTCACTCTTTAAACAAACCGAGTACATTCAATTATATTGCAGCAACAAAGGTACATCCAACAAGAGGATACAGTTCGTGTGAAAGAGAAACTGAAGAAGAACCAACCGGACACAGTGAAAGCAACACCGAAACAGAAAACCGATGTGAAAGTAGATTCGTGGCAGCAAAATAAGGAAAACTGTTTGGATCTATCGAATGCAGTTTGTCCAGTTATGAAATTAACAGACACGTGTTTGATACCTTCACAAATGAACATAACCTTCTGCAGCGAAATGTTTCCCCAACAGTCCTCAAATATGTTGATCCCGCAGCCATGTAAACAGCAGAATGTCATAGAAACATCTCAGGAAACTTTGTACCAGGTGAGGAAGAAGCTGGAAAGTTTACACAATGTTTTACGTACATATGAGGTGCAAAGTTCTGAAGCAAGAATACTGGGTGAACAACAAGAAAACAGCAACAAGATGAATAACGTTTGCCAAAATGTCATGGACAAGATTGTCTCAGTTGCAACAGAAGCTGATGGACTGGAAAGCTGGAATGGAAAGAAAAAAAGTAGAGTAAGCTTCGACACAGAGGCTAGGAGACAGTTCAATGACATACATCGAACAGTCTACATCAGTTCTGAACAATATGACAGCGACGAAACAGGCAGGAGTTCTGATGTGTCTGTTCAGAATTACTCTCACGTGCTCAGTACATATTATTCAAATAATCTAAACAATCTATATTGTTCACTCCCAAAGCAATCGGAGGATCAAGTGTATACTTTGAATAACCAGAAATCAAACATAGTTAGGGAGAAGGGATACTCTTCCATTAGATACAATGAAATTCCAGAGAGAGTATATTACACCATTTCATCTGACTTCTTCGAAGACAAGAGTAGCAACAGGGATCCGACAGATAATTACACATTACGAGATGTATACATTGAAAACAATCAAACAAAACCGTTTAACTTTTCAGACAGACACACTGTACCAATGGAAACTGATGAAGATTTGATGATAACATCGCCAACCTCGAGTCGTACAGAAATATCCAAAGACAGTGAGTCAGATGACAAATCCACAGCACTGTTGCTTCAAGAAGCATTAGAATTCAGAAAAGCACTACTGACACGTGTAGGACTTGAGAAGATATGTTACATAGACGAGAAGAGTGAACATATGAACAACGAATCCATGTCAGAATATAACAAATGTTCGTACATTAACAATAATATTAAGTCGAAATTTTTGGATATCATATCAGAGGAACAGTCTGTTAGCAGTTCCACCGAAAGAAGTAGTCGTACATACATGTTTTTCAATATGAAACAGAGTAAACAATTACAGCATTCTTCGACGTTGAGTAATAAATATACCAACTGTATGCATCAAAATATAATTACGGATCAGAACAATGGTAGAAAATGTTGTGATTCCAATCAAAATCTTGCTTCAAGTTCCGAGTATTTCAGTCTCAGTAACATAATACAAGAAAACATCGAAACGAATATTAATCAATTATCTCTATCGGAAACTAATCACTTGGAAGAAATTGAGCCTACAGAAATGGTATCAAATAACTTACATACGAGGCACTTAAAACATAATTCGAATAGCTTTGATGAGAGACTTAAGGAAACGAAATTTACAAATTGCTTCCAGAATATAAATGAAAGGGAGAAACCTGAATCACATTTTCTGAGTATGAACAACATGGGTGAGCTTGTAAATCGATACGATAATAGTGTAGAGTTATTTTCCCAAGATTTAAATGAATCCCTTTTAGATGAACACAATTCACATTTAAATAAGAATGAAGGTTGTAATTTTCTGGTCTGTATCAAAGATGTAGATGACTTTTTAAATACAGAACCAAATATATCAGATGACGAGAAATATATTCACGATAATGAAATTTTAATATTCACTCCGAATCTCAGTTTAAAGAGGCATCCTGGTGCGTGTTCTCTAATACAGCAAACACTGGAAACAGAAAGTGCTAAAAAGGCCACAGAATTACACACAGAGATAAATAACGCAGATGCATTGTATGAATTATCAACGTCTGAAAGTAAGGAAAATTCAATTGAAACGAACTTGATGCAGGATTCATCCAGTATAAATCAGTCAAACGATTCCAACATTCCAGAACCGTCGTCTATGACAGTGCTTATTAATAAATCAACAGACGAAGAAGAATTACATTTGAACTGGTCAAATGTTAAGAACGATTCCAGCGATGATTATGTTAACGAGAGAAATATACAGAAAATATCAACGAACACAATAACCCTCCGAAAATACGAGAACAACTACGTTAATGTGGAGAGTTGTTGCAAACAAGAGCCAACGCGCAATAACGATGCACCTTTAACAGAAAAATACAGGTCAGCCGTTCATTGTGACGAAGATGAAACGTTCAAAGATAAAAAGAACAATTCAGTCGTGGCAAATTCATTTGCAGAGCCTGGTAATGAAGGCTTAATTAACGAGGCGGGCCTTAATAAATCGTACTCTAACATCATTTCCGCGCATAGTAGCATGTACTTCACTGACGAAGCTTCAAGTTCCGCTGCGAAATTAAGTAATGCAAACAAAAATACAGAAGGAAGTGATGAAAAACTACGCACTAATGAGATAAATTCAAAAGATACTGGAAACGCTGATTTATTACCTATGTCCGTGCCAAATGACAGTACAAAGTTCGACACAATAGAAGCGAAAATTCAAAAGTCCTACAAAATTACAGACGAAATGATTGAACAAAAGTTACCAGATTGTAATAGTGAGGCAAATAGAAGTAATATATTTTCTTCCAAAAATTATATAGAAAATATTCATGTGCCAGCTATTACCAAAACAGAAGATCCACTCAAAGAAGAAAATGAAACGTCGAATAATAATGCCTCACCTTCGGATAATACTGCGAGCAATCATACTTTACTACCACCAACAAATATGAATGTTTGCAATGAGGCACAGCATAATTCGTCGGTGAGTAAAACAGAGATAACAAGTATAGGCCAAACTACAGTTCTACCAAACGTATCTTCGCGTCCATTCTCTCCAAGAGACACAAAAGAGAATATGACAATGAGAAGAATGAATACAACAATACCGTCGAGAAGTCAGGATAATTACATTTCAAAGTTTGAAACACCAAGGAAAACAGTTGCTTCGCAAAACTTAAAGGGTTTAAAGTCTGATTCAGCATATACTGTTCATATAAAAACGGAAAACAATACTCCCCCAATTCAGGTAAAAGTCAGGGGCTTATCTGTTGAACCCAGACGTAATACAGATAGTAGCCTTAAGTTGGATAAAAAAAGATCACGGTCACAAATAAGCTTTCGATCAAATGAATCATCAAAATACATGTCTTCGCAGTCACATGAATCTCCAAGTAATGCCAATGACACTGTAAACTGCGCTCAATCGTTTGGCACTACAACAAAATCAAAAAGACCTGCAAAATCATTAACACCAACACCAAAGACCTCTTCAAGGTCTTGCATACCAGTTCTGAAAAGGAGATTAGAAGCAGCTAGAAAAACAGAACACGAGGGAAGATCTAGAAGTCCAATGAGAGGACCACTGACCATGACTATGTTCTGGAGGGACAATTTATCTAATAAAAGTTATTACGCAACAGAAGAAAGTATAAAAATGGAAGGCAAATCGGAATGTAATGATCAATGCATGAAACAAACGAACAGTTCTGTCCAAACTACTAATGACGCGAAATCATCATGCACCGTAGAAAATATAATTAATGATACCGACAGTATTATCGCTGCACAAGAACAAATGGTAATTTATGTCAACATATTCACGAAATATGATCATAATACAACAAAGATAGTAGATCCTGACAAATTCTTGGAATATATCCAAAACAGAGGGACGAACGCCCTAAACGTGGCTACAGAAAACGAATCTAATAAGAGAAACGAAGAGCTTTTTAGAGGAAACTCGATCGAAAAGAAACAAAGTGCAATGCATAAAATTGTTACCATCGTTTCCTCTGTCATAAATGGTAACGAATTAAATCAAAATATATCCGCTGATTTAACTGCTTCGAAAGCAAACAGTGAATCATTAACGAATAGTTTATCCACCGAGAAATTGAAACATATGTGTTTTCTTTCCGTGGAACAAAGAGAAATTGACGTTACTGCTAAACCGTCGGTTATCGACACAAGTACGTCCATTACGGACTTAGAAAATGTTTCCCGAACATCCGAAAGTGTATTAAGTAAGTTTCAAATATGCGGAACGCCTAAAGAGTTGAACAACGACGAATATGTAGCATTACTCGAAATTCTTCATCAAGAACCGAACTTGGCACATCTACAAGAATTACAAAATGTCTGTAAGAGGCTTGTATCAGAACGCAAAAACTCCAAGTGACATTCGTTTGCGGATATTACTTAATAACTGCAATTTTTAAATTGATAATTAATGGTCACAAACATATTTTTATAATAACTGCGCTTTTATTTTCTAATACAATATGGGTACTCCATTTAATTACGTTGTACATATACGAACGCATTTGGAAATAAATATATTTTTTATACTTTTAGCAACGATAATAAGAATCGACTTTTGTCTATGTAATGATTAGGCTACGGATTTTATGCGTTTATAGCATGTGCGATGGTAGAAAATTTAGTATATTAAAAAACGTTTAATAAACTTTAGTACGGTTTTTAAATCCATAAAGATCGATATTTGCATAAACATCTGCAGTTTAATGATAATATTAAAAAGCATACCTGCATTTGGACGCTCTGGCAGTTGACAAATTCAATGCTGGACACAAGGGAGTCGAAAACAACGGATGATTTACGGCACGAATCCATTACGACGGAGTTCACTTTGCCTTTAACAACTAAGGTACTATCTTGACACCGAAACATGTAGACGACATTATTCATCTCTACATTTTCAATGCGCAGATCTTTATTTCCTTTATGGTATTCCTACAATAACGAATTACATATACTTCCAAACTAGGAGAAACTATAGAATAAAACGGTAATTGTTATACAAGCCAAGCAGTACTTACCACAAGCCATTTCTTTCCATCTTTGGTAAATACTGGTGGTTTTTCAATCGGTGCATTCGCAGGTGGCACTATTTTCATCGGTGGTACAGCAGCATTATTGCCAACTACTGGCGCTTTAAACGGTGCTGGACCAGTCCTCAACGACGGGTTTTTATGTGTTTGCATTTCGGAAGTGACTTTCTTTAAGTCTGTTCGAAAAAACTTCAGTTCGTTAATTATTTTAAATAATTTACATAGTAATATGCAACATGTAAGCTGTATTTACTCTTTGTAATTCCTTCTCCTTGATTAATTTCAGCGAAAAGGGCGCTTCTGTCATCGGCAATACTGACTGGCGCCACATCTCCAATAGGCATGCACGGTGGTGGAGGTGGTGGTATGCCCGCCGCCGGGGCAGAGCCAGTTTTTGCCCACACCAATCCTGTTGTGTGATGTTGACGTACATATTGCTGAAGATCAGTTAGCGTTTGCACCCAAGCTTTGCACCATTCAGCATGGATTTTATCTCTGCGAAGGAAAACGTGTGGATAAATGAACTTGAAACAACGTTACGAAAATACATGGATCATTTGGAAAGTACTCCTAACAATTGATCAGAAGCGAATTCGAATTCAAGTTTCTCAAGAGAGTTTAAAACGTTGATCTATAAAACTGCAATGTTGTTGGTCCAAGTGCATTGATGTTAAACGAGATTATAGTAAAAATTAGAAATCTCTTAAATACAATATAAATTGTCCTTCCACTCCACTCCGAAAACTTTTCAAATGACCCACGTAATTGTGAGGAAACATTTAATACACTGTTTTAGTTGTAAAACAGGCTTACTTTTCTTTCCAGTCCTTTAAGACACGATTAGTATAAAATTGTCCAGCATCGTTCATTTCCTTTACATAGGGTGCTGGTGTAGGCCTTACGGCGACCCATCCTAGAGCTGGAATACTTTCACTAATTGCTGACAGATGATTGAAAAACTGAGATCCTCTGTTTTTCTCACGAAATTCCTGAATCTGCTGAATTTGCGTAGAGGTAGGTGCAAGGAGACCAACCTCTTCTGATGGATTTGCTGGAGCTGGTCGATTTGCTGCAGTTCGAATAAATTCAAGCTGAATTCTAGAAAAAAACAGGAATGTTTACTATCTTATATAAATGTGTTCAATACTTCCAGTAGCCTTACAATAAAATACTTACTGAAATGCCTTTTCTACAAGCTTACTATGCGTGGCTACATCACCACCAATTTTCCCACTCAACTGCAAGTATTCTCTAACAGGTCCGGCTAAAACATCTTCATAGCCTGCGACTGACATGGTGACAATTTTATTTGATGCTGATTTGTGCTGTGACTGAATAGGTGAGGCAGACTGTACTGATGTTCCGTTCTCAACTGGCCGAGCCCTCCTTGGTGATGGTGTATTTGTTTGAACAGCAGTATCCTGAGTTTCAGTTACAGAAAAGGCTTGAACTTTCTCTAATCGTTCAGTAACGTTTTCCAATCGATTTACTAGCTCTTCTAAATGATCCTCCCTGTCACTGCCGTCACAGCCTTCAAATACAATACAAATTTATTGAATCTATACCTCAAATTTATTGGGAATATAATAAAATCATAAAGATTATTAAACAAATAATAATATATTAAACTTTAGTTTCTATTTTTGCAAAGTGATAAAAAATACATGCAAAAAAAAACTGATTCTGGAGCTTATAAAATTTTGTAGTGTAATACACTATTGATGTATTATAATACAACCAGCTTTCAGATAGTACTTTGAATCATTTTGTGAAACTTCAGTAATAATTACTGTGTGCGATTTTAACTAATTATAAAGGAAATATTCCAGAAAGTTTGCATTTATGTCAAGTACATTAAATATAGAATGAGTGTATAAATAGTTATGTCAACATCCACAGCCACTAGATCATTATGTTGCAAGCATATGTAATAAAAATAAATTTCTATTTTCTTTGAAATGTTAGATGTACTGAACAAATTTTTTTTAATGAAGTAACGCATCTCCAACTAATTTTCCGTTGGTGTTCAGATTCTCACGATGAGCAGTTGCATTTAAGATAATAAATAAATGCATTAATTACCCCCCTATTTCAATACGAGCGTTACAATAACGCTAATTTTAAAATCGTACTTCTCGCAATTGTTTACTTACTTCACCGAAAATTATTTTTACGGTAAGATATGTTTTCACTACGTGGGGATCTTGCCTTTTCAGAGACTGGTGAAGAACTAATCTACGATTCTGATGATATTCAACGCGCGTACATGCCGGCCTATTCTTAGGAAAACTGCGAAAACTGAATCGCGACCGCGAGTGTTATAAACCCCTGCGTGGGTAGACACTATTTCGTATCGTGGATTTCACGCGTTCACTCAACGGTACTAAATTGGAGAAAAGAAACAATTATATTTATACATGATATGTAAATATAGTGCCCAATATTAAAACTGTATACAACAAAATATTCATAAAATAGAGATTTTACATCGGTCCTGAAAAAAAAAGAAAATCCCGTTAAAGAAAACCGAGGGAATAAAGAAAAATCATCGTGTATCTTTTTTTCATGGCTATTTTCAATGAACAGGAAACTTTCTTTTCTCGTCAGAGAAAGTTCTTTAAATAATACGACCGGCTGAAAGGTAAATGGGTCGAAAAGTAAAAATAGAACGACTCTAAGGTCGAAACAATATATGAAACCTGAAAAAGTTTTGACATCGTCCGAGTGCTTCCGCCAGTAACTTGAAAACAAATAACTCACATATGAAGAATGATCCTCGCTATACATAATACGATGTGGCTTTCGCTCTTATGTACACTGTACCAACAAGTATACCCTATATATCAAAGTTTACAGTAACACTGTGGACTGTAAAATGTATATTTATGATCGTCGTATTTCAAGCTAGTACCTCGCCTCTATAAAATAACGATGTACACGCTTATAATCCTTCGTATCATTTTGTGTTAAGCTTTCACTGCATTATGTTTCGATTAAAAGCCTTATTAACACAGTGTAAACAATTCTATAGCAATTTTGTTCCACCATAATAACACGGACCGCCGGTCAATGCCACGCGTTGCGTACGCGTCCTAAGCCTTACTCAACACGCAATGTAAAGGCAGTGCGCATATCGCATGTGGACAGCATCGCACTGTATATTGTATACACGCAATATTGGTAAATGAAAACAATAATATTTCGGTTGTGCCTAATACATTCAAGAACAGAAGACACGAAAATTCAATAAAAATCATACAAAGTAAGAAATGGATTTAAGGTGAGCCCTAACCAGCGTGCACCATCGGTCCTAGTGGGTCAAACCTCACTCTGTGCTCCGTCGCGTTTTGCGAGGCGTGCAACAAATCGGAAAAGAATCTGTGACGCCTTAAAGCTAGCTCGTCGCGGGCGACCGGCGTTGCGGGTGGTTCTTGCATTCCGCTGCACTCTTCTGCCGAATCGTGTTCCCCATCGTCCTCTTCCGACAGCCAGCGAGGAACTGACGGAACTGCACACCATACACCCGAGTATTGTAATTTTCTCCAAACGACAGTATCCATTTCAATAGAATTTTCATATTTTCAATGAAAAATAATTGAATTAACATAATATAATCCGGGTCGAAGAAAGAATCGTCTTGGTGGAACCCTTGCCAACTGGCGTGTACTTTGTCCCAACCCTAAAGCTGCCTCGTCCGCAGTCTAGCGACTAGTAACGAAAACTAAAGCCGATGAGGTAACATTAGGGCACAGCAATTTATGAATGTCCATTTTGACTTGCAGTTAATGAAGGTACAAAATGTCTTAATCAGGTAAAAGGATACAAAAATGTACGGCATATTTACGGGTCAACAGAACCGAGATAAAAAGTGAGCAATCTTGAAATTGATTCTTTCTTTGACCCCGTTTTAAAGTTTTTCACTTACGAGTAAAGTCTATGATAGCATCGGGCGCGTTCTTATCAAAACCAGTTCAAAATGTGGAGCATGTATGTATAAATAATGTCCTGAATGTTGATTTTGAAGCTTGTTTTTTATTAGAAAAAATCTCATCAAACATTACCAAATAGGGATAATTGAATACCTCAAAATATTTAATCTCTACTCAAATTTTTTATAACGGTGAAGCATCAGTAGCTAGTTTCATACTCTTGTTTATACACACCATACCCTATACTTTGCACCAACCTTCATAAAAGAAAGCAGTAAAAAAGAAAAGGATTTTCCTTGTTAGAAAACACGGTGTACAAACACAACGTAAATACCACGTTTACGGTTTAAAGTAATAACGTAAAACTGATTTCTTGGACATTAAACACGACAACGTTATTATCGCGAAAGACGTTTTCCATTAAACTTTTAATGAACTCGTGATTACATCGCGTAGTTGTTATCGTTGATGAACGAAATCATGAAATTGTACTTGTCAAAGTGACGGGCGCGTGTAAATAAAAGATTTTGAAAAAACGCGGGAAAAATTATACGATTAAAGTATTTTAAAAATAATACCGAATGAACAAATAATCGGGTGGATAAGACTGTACCTGTCGTTTGTTTTTTATTCGCATTCTCGTCGTTGGGACATGCCTCGAAAACAGAATCGTCGCCTTCGTCTTCTGGTCCATCATCGATCGTTCTCTCGATATACGCGGCGGAAGAGTCGTAAAGATTCGTTTTTACGGTGTTAGGAACGCCGGAATTTAATATTGCCTTCATCAGTTCATTCCCGCCTCCGCTGTCGCCACTCACGCTTATACTGTCACTTCCATCCACCTCTCCATTACCACACGGATCCTTGACTCCGTTTGCTGCCCTTATCTTGCCCTCATCCATTCGATCCTTCGGATTTTCAGTGTCGTCGTCGCGATCCTTGTCGTTCGATTCAACCATCGATTCTTTTCTCGATCGCGTGGCGTCGTTGACATCGTCCCGTTTACCGGACGGCAACGGACTCTTCACGGTCAGATCGTCGACCACCTCCACGGAACAATTATTCTCCATCCTGGGCGAAACTTCCTCGAATCTCTGCACGTCGCCGTTCAACTTCTCGTCCCTTACGATCGGTCTGCTTTCCTCTACCCTGGTCGAATCGATGGGCACTATCTGCGTGTCCGCCGCCTTCTGACTTTGTTTCGTCACCTCGCCGTTCGGCTTCTCCTTCTTCGAGCTCTTGTTGCACACACAGCATTTAAACATCGTCGATATCGATTATGGATATACCCTTGTATCAAGCAGCGGAACGCTTTTGACGCCTTTCAGCCAAACTTTGACTGTTAAAAAAGGTGATACCTTACACGCCCGGTTTAGCAAATATTTAAGCCGATATCGACAGCGTTTCCGTTCTGTATCCGTTGGCTACTGATCGATCCTATCGGGATCGGAATCGATCGATTTACTGTGTAAATCGAAAAATTGACTGAAGTTCTTCGTACGATTCAACGGGTGGAATATAAGCTCGAGGATTGTGAACAGGGTCGTTGTAAATAACAATGTGAATACTGTAAATTTGTTGTCAACGATTTTTTTTCATTAGCATCGCTGACATTTGTTAATGACGTTTCGTAACGGTTATTGACTTGGAATATGAAATGTAATAACGGGATAAGTAAAAACACTTTTAGTATCTAAATAAGTTCAGTACTGACACTTCACAGCCGAAGTAACGTGGATACTTCAATATTTTAGTATAAGTACGCGTACTGGCGGTCGTTTTTAGGCTGCCAGGGACTAGGACTAGACGATCGAATATTCTATCCCAGGCAGGTTTCCCACGGGAATCACGCGCTATAAATTGTTCAGCATACAAACGTACTTCAATTACAGTTACTCACAGCCCGGTTTTGTGTATTTACGGTCGGTGGTCCGCTAACATCGTTAATTTCTTAATTACCGGCGCAACCAGCAAAACAATGATAATTAATTAACACCTGTATTATTTCCTCTTCTTCAATGGAAACGTAAAGTGTGTAATATTAATAGGCAACACGTATCGAAAGAACTATTTATATGCACCACTATACTTCTCAATACAACAGAGATAGAATATCTACGCAACGTGGGTGCGTATGTTTCAACAGCTTAGCCCTGCTTTTTAAACCACTCCATAGAAGCAACACTCTCGGTAACACTATAATAATATTTCAAACTGTAACGTTCTCGGCAATAAAATCACATCACTTTCCGTGGGATCTTAACGAGCTAAGATCTGCAACGCATTTTCCCCGCGAAATTCTGTTGATGGCGCGATGATCGATTCCAACTACGCCCAGCCAGGTTTACGTTTTCGAGATTAGTTCGACAACAGAAATGGACGTTACACGACGATCGAAACTTTGAATATGTATTAAATGAACGAGCATAAATTTGCCACTTCTTTTAGATTCTTCTTAGAACCATAAACATATTTGTATCGCCTAACGACTTTTAATGCACGATTAAATAAGAACCACGAATAGGATAATTTTTATAAACATTTGCATGAAAAAACCCCGGTAATTTCGACACATGTAAAGAGTCAGTAAATAAACATACCGGTATAAATGTATCACAAAGGCATGTCGGTTAAATGCGTGCACAAGTAGTGTTTCCAACGGAAACAACGTAGATACGTTAATGGAACGGCGAAGGGCAATATGAATGAACGTATAGGTATATCTTATCTGATCATCAGGGGATTTTGCACAAATTAACTTATCATGAATCACGTCTGCCCAATTATACACAAACTTGTTAACTGTAAATCAGCACCGTATCGGCTCGGCTACTACATATACTCGGCAACGGTTCAGTCGTCGAAATCACTTAAAAAAATTCTTCACGCGCACTGAGGTTACGCACACTTAAGTACCAACGTAATGTCAATTTTAGTTGAGTTATTCAAAAAATGTGTTTCAAGTTGTACAATAATCAACAGGCTCAAAGTAAATGAATACTTTCACTTCGAATTATTTGTATGTTAATAGCACGCGGCAATTACGTGAATTTTCATTAAATATACAAATGGAACATTTGAATCCAATTAGGCGACACGCGAGGGTGGAGTTCCTGTCCTCAAAAACAGTCCACTTTGGAAGTAACCCGGCGCAATACTCTGCCGCTTCTGGTTTCGACCGGCACACTGCGGTGCTGCCACAGCGTGGTCGAGACCCGAAATTGTTGCAAGATTCTTAGGCAGGAGCCACGTGCACCGAAGGACTTTCGTAGTGTAACTTCTTTTCTAACAGGACTACGAAACTTCGAACTCTTCTTTTCCGTTACTCCTTACTCTTTGTGGAGGTGATACTACAGTATGGCCGAAAAATTAACCGGAAATCAAGGTCCTTATGTTTCGCATCGAGGACAAGAGAAGTGACAAAAGCATGGGGTGTGTGAAGGACCTTTAGATTTCATACAGGGTCGTGTGAACTGTTTATGTTCTATTCGATGTCCTTTTTAATTCAATGTCAATGGGATATTTAAACGTAGGGAAAAAATTCAACACTGCAAGTGCTGATTAAAATTTGTACTTTTCCGGCCAGTATGGAATTTATCATTGGTTACCAGTATTATCTTTTTGTTCTTCCTTTGCGTACTGCAACTCGGCTAGGCAAGGATTCACATTTCGATCACAACTTATATCGTATCCACTATAAATAAATCTTATCGTTCACTTCACTTTTACTTCATACTTTAAATAGTTCTACTATGGAAGATAAAACGATTAATTTGAAAACAATGCGAATATTATCACTACCGAAACATTGTTAAAAATTGTAATAAGGACTTGGTAAAAAGCGACATCTAATGTACATAATTGTAAATAGAAACCATTTGTGATTAACGATTAATATGAGCTATCATTATAAAGATTCAGAAATTGTTAAATATTCGTCATAGATAAATCAGAAATAGAAATCAGGGCTATTACGCAGATGAACAAACATGCACGTTTGCGTGACTCATATTATAAAGGAACAATTTCCAGCATGCCTATGAATGTATTTTATTCACAGTCAGTGTTCAAACAGTATTTATAAAAATTGCGTATTCCGATAGTGGCAAATTTATCTATTATTTATCGAATTTATAACTGTTATACAGATATTTCATCGACTATATGTAGAACAAATAATATACAAAATAAATTTACCTGTCATAAATTATAACACGTTAATTGCACGACGATAATGAGTTAGTGCACTAGCGATTATTACTTACAAATACGAAAAATTCATTATACGTACGACTATAAATATTATGTATTTAAGTTTAACATAAAATATTAAATTCATTAATCTCTTCAATATATAAAATTTAGGTATATGACAAAAAATTAGTGTCTAAAATTTGTCGCATTATGTCAAAAAAGAAAATCGTTTTACACTCACGATTTTTCCACATGTCTAACACTTTTTTGTAAGCACCTGGTACCATTCGGGAATCATCCTCCTTAACTTTTTGAACTTCAGACATTTCAAGAAAACTTATTAAAAGAAAACTAAGAGTTCAAAAAATGACTACACAAAATGTGGAGACTAATGCGTTCGATGTGTAACTGATGAATGATGATAACGGACTCACTTCGTCAGCTTTCACGATGGAATTTTAATCTCGCGTCAGGATCGCAGGACCGTATCATATAACCAACCTGATAGTAAAAAATCTCAGTCACGAAATTTTTAATTTCTCCTAACTTCTAATGACACGATCTAACTTAAAAAATAATTAAAAAGAATTAACTCTGAACAAAAAATATCAAATGCTCTTATTTGTAAGTTCGTATATTTTTTCATATTTTACACTCACAACATTCTTTGATTAAATTATTATAAATTTATGTTTGAAAATACTGTTTCTCTCAAATAAGTGTATATTATTAGTGAACAGAAAAATACGGAAATAAAGATCTTCGTTTCTACGACGGTATGTTTAAAGACCTATTTTGATAATTTCACTATTATTCTTATTTAAATTACATATATTTATTGAATATTGTAAAGCATCGAGATATGTTACGAGGTGTCAAGTGTCAGGTGCAGCATAGTATGACTCACAGTTGAAACGCTGCAGGAGGCATAAACTGCACAAGTATAACCGTGACCATAACCAAACTCTCTTGTATCTTTCATTTAGATGAACTACAACTTCAGTATCTTTAAACATTTAATAAATAGACTGCAAACATTGCATATATACACATACAATATTGTAGTATGAATAATGTAAATTGCGGGAACATATAAAATAGTAAAATGTTTTCAGAAATGTTGATATGTACCTAGCGGCTGTGGCATATTTTATTACACTATTACGCAGAATATGTATACTCACTCACCGATATGAAACCTCGCCGAAGTTGAATACCATATAAGGTGTCACTTTGTGACAATTGACTCCACAACAACACAATAAACGCGATACACGAGTGATAAAGAGTTCAATCTGACAACATTGCTACATACACTGGGGCGTTTGCCGGATACCGGAAGTACTGCTCTTGTTATTATGAAAGCTTAGAATTGTTGACTGCACATGCGCCTGCATTCAAGTGCATTGCCTTCAAACTAAATGTACCGTTTCTCGGTAATAGTGTTTTAAAAATTTCATTACAATCAAAGCAGAAAAAGAAAAGGCTGTTCTGTAAGAATAAATCGATAAAATATATTACCCTTCAAGTACTTCAACCATTTCTATTTTATTCTGGTACTTATTCATGAAAGTTTTAATTACACCAATATGGTCAAATTAAAATCAAAGTACTACATTTACAAAGTATGCATAAATTTAAAAATTAAATATTGAGAAAATATTTTAAGGAATATTTCGAAAGTTCCGCACTGTCGTGTATATATTTCATGGTGCTGCCATCTGGTCTTGCGGTCAAAAATAGTGACTGCAGTAATTACGCTGAGTCACAAATAACTTTATCTAATATTTTCTTTATCAGTATTCGTTACCATGAGGTTTAAAGTTTCGTAGTATTTTGTAACATTAACATATTTTCAAAGTACAATTAGCATCATAAGTTTATATAATTTAAATACGTAAGATGTTTTTCTGAAACTAAGTTTTACCGCAATCACATCGCACAAGTATATATGTACATATAGGCTTAACTTTGCGGCAAAAAACAATATATCATAATATATGAAGTGATCGATTTGATTAATTTACAAGAAAATCGAAACAGGGTACACAAAATATCATATAAATAAAAACATGAGCACAAAATTTATATTTATTGAATCAATGGACATTTTAAGCACAATACCTCAATATCATATATTGATAGGAGCATTTTTGGTCTTCTGGCTCATTTGGTTTATTGGTAAGAGACGGCACAACAGATATAATAGAGTGCCAACGGAAGAAGAAGTTGCAAAGAAACTTGCAGAATGGAATCCCGAACCACTTATAAACAATCCACAAACATCTCATCCATCTTTAAATCCAAGATATGTAACTTCTAGAGCAGGCAAAATAATAATAGTTAATGGAAAGGATTGTCTGAATCTGGGTACACATAATTATCTGGGTTTAGTAGAAAACAATGAAATAGAGAAAACAGCAATAGCAGCAGTAAGAAAATATGGAGTAGGATCTTGTGGTCCACGTGGATTCTATGGTACCGTGGATGTGCACCTTGAATTAGAAGAACGTTTAGCAAATTATACAGACACAGAAGAGGCTGTAGTATATTCATATGGATTTAGTACAATAGCATCTGCAATAGCAGCATATTGTAAACGCAAAGATCTTGTATTTGTAGATGAAAAAGTAAATTTTGCCATACAAAAAGGATTAGATGCATCTAAAGCTAATATTAAGTATTTTAAGCACAATGATGCAAATGATCTCCATGATTTATTAAAGAAACAAGCAATAATTGATGAGAAAAATTATAAAAAGGCAAGTAAGATCAAACGTTTTTTAATAGTTGAAGGTATTTATATGAATACTGGGAAAATTTGTCCATTGCCAGATTTAGTTGCACTTTGTCAGAAATATAAATTAAGAATATTCATTGATGAATCAATATCATTTGGTACCATTGGAGCACATGGAAAAGGTATTACAGAATATTTTAATATTCCTAGGGACAACATTGATATGATTATGGGTAGGTAGTACTATTAGATATTTATAACATTATAGTTATGTTCACTTATTCTTATTGGGGAAACTTTTAGGATCTTTGGAATGGGCAGTAGGATCTATTGGTGGATTTTGTGTAGGTACATCTTTTGTTATTGAACATCAACGTTTATCTGGACTTGGATATTGTTTTTCTGCATCTCTACCACCTCTCTTGACAACTGCTGCTATTACTTCCTTAGACATTATGAAAAATAATCCACAAATGTTTGAGGTGCTAAAGGAGAATTGTATAGCTATACATAATGGACTACAAGACATTCACTGTCTTGAGTGTTCAAGTTTCTCAGAATCTCCAGTAAAACATGTATATTTGAAAGACAAATTAGATCGTAGTACAGAGGAAAAGTTACTTTCTAAAATCTCTGAAAAATGTATAGAAAATAATTTAGCAATTATAACACCTGTGTATTTGGAAGCAGAAAAGGAGTTACCCAGGCCTAGTTTAAGACTCTGCATTTCCACTCTTCTTAATAAAACTGATATTGATTTTGTGCTAAATATGCTAAAGAAATGTGCTGAAGAGATTCTATCACTGTAAATCAGAAGACAATCAAAATATTTTTGAAGAAATCAAATTTTAAAATTAACACATTTATTCTGCATGCATACTATTTATGAACACTTATGTACAAGAATGCATTCTTCGCACAAATGCATAACGATTTCTCACCAGTTGTACAAGCAAAGTATTTCTCTATTCTAGAAATTATTTTTTATTTCATATCATAACATTTCTCTGTAGTTATGATATGTTTTATTTCTTATAGTTTAATTTGCCAATATTTTTAGATTAATAGTTTATATGTATATTATGTATAACTTAAAAGAAACAAATAAATAAAGTACAAAACAGAATATGTAAATACATAAGGTTTATCATTTATTTTCTGTTATAATAATTTATTCATTTATTGTAACCAGCAAATGCTTCCAGAATTCTCATTAATTAAGAAAGTATTTTTCATGACTCAAATATGTCATATGACATATGGTATAAAATTATATTGCGATTGAGAACTTCTTAAAAGTTAAGAAAATTTCGCGGTACGATGACGTATTTCCTATGTCCATGTCGATACTATACACCTATACACACCCTGTACCATGAAGAAGTAACGACTTCCTCTTTCTTCTTCATTGTACCCACAAACTTGCCACGGTGAGTAAAATCTGTCTTGTCATTTATTTGAAAAATTCACTAATCGCATATCTTCTGCATTTTATGATGATTTTACAATATTATACATACCACAATATATAAATATAAGTCAGAAAATGTGAAATATTTCTTATACTTTTCATCAAATTTGAAGTAAATAGGTATCTAAGGTTAGCTTACCATGTGGTAGCGTCTCTAAAATTTATGTTACGATTAATTAATTAAAATATGTTCACATACGCATTCAAGATTATTAATTTTATGGAGTATGTGAAAAATTGTAAAATTTGATATTTTCTTGGTTGACGACGTATACTATTATATATAAATATGGGAAACTTACGAAATTTTAAAATAATTAGGTTAATGAAAATGCTAAAATAGATAATAAATGAAATAGAAATTACGTGATGATAAAATAACGCGTCTGATATATCTGAGTATCATACAGAAGCTAGAAATAGCTGAACCCATCTGTGTGCAGATATAATGATTATAAATCGCATACATGCAATCTGATTATTGTTATATCTATTATAAATATTATGACAATGACAATAAATCTTGTTCTAATAAATCTGTTTTTGTTTTAGTCCTTAAACTCTTAGGTATCTCTACACACACTTCAAGATGGGTAGGGAGGACAAGGCATCATGGAAGTCACATTACTTCACCAAACTTGTTGTAAGTGTTATAGATTCATATACTTGCATTATTTAGAAATGCATTTGCAATACTATATCATTGTATTTTCTTTGTAGCAACTTTTAGATGACTATCCCAAATGTTTCATTGTGGGTGCAGATAATGTTGGTTCTAAACAAATGCAGCAAATTCGCATGTCCCTTCGTGGAAATGCTGTTGTACTGATGGGAAAAAACACTATGATGAGAAAAGCTATTCGTGGTCATATCGAACGTAATGCTGCATTGGAAAAACTCTTGCCACATATTCGTGGAAATGTTGGTTTCGTTTTTACACGTGGGGATTTAATCGAAGTGAGGGATAAGCTTTTGGAGAATAAGGTCAGAGCACCAGCTAGAGCAGGTGCTATTGCACCATTGAGCGTTATCATTCCAGCTCAGAACACTGGACTTGGTCCTGAGAAAACATCTTTCTTCCAAGCTTTGAGTATTCCTACTAAAATTTCCAAGGGTACCATTGAAATTGTGGTATGTATACAGATGCTAATTTTACAATTGTAATTCTACAGAAATTAATTTTGTATTATTAACATAATGTTTGTGTGATGTACAATTTAATCACTCTTTATGTTTTAGAATGATGTACACATTTTGAAACCAGGTGATAAAGTGGGTGCATCAGAAGCCACACTTCTGAACATGTTAAACATTTCTCCTTTCTCATATGGTTTGATTGTGGAACAAGTTTATGACTCCGGTACTATTTTTGCACCTGAAATTCTGGACATCAAGCCGGAAGATCTCCGTGAGAAATTCATGTGTGGAGTTGCAAATTTGGCTTCAGTATGTTTAGCTATTGGCTATCCCACACTGGCTAGTGCTCCTCATAGCATTGTTAATGGATTCAAGAATCTGTTGGCTATTGCCGCTGTTACTGATATCGAGTTTGCTGAAGCAGCTACAATCAAGGAGTACATCAAAGTACGTTTATCTTTGCCATTTAGTAAAATTAACTTTAATGAATATACAATATGATGATAACTGTATACGTCTGAATATTCTATGTACTGTGTCAGCGCTAGAGATAGCAGAACCCACTGATACTTTAGAATATTTTGTTGATAATAGTGTAAATCGCAGTCTGATATTAAGCATAAAGTATGTTAATGTACTTAAACTACTTATGTATGTATTAATTAACGTATAATGATATATTTATAGGATCCAAGTAAATTCGCTGCAGCTGCTGCCGTCGTTGCTCCAGTTGCTGCAGCCGCAGAAGCTCCTGCTGCCGAAAAGAAGGAAGAAAAGAAAGAAGAAACCGAATCTGAAGATGAAGACATGGGATTCGGTTTATTTGACTAAACTGCATATATACATACATGTGTATGTATTGTTCAACGTGACCGTGCATGGTCATTGTCGGATCATGTTTTTATAAACTGGATTTTAAAAATGTAAACAATCATAATAAAAGAAAAAAAAACAGTTTATACTATGTCTGCTGTACATTACTTTATTTCTCCGTCACACTTTTTTTTATCGTTACATCGTTCTCTAATTTTTGTATAATTATGGTAGTCTTATTTATTCCACAATAAAAGGTAAGACCGATAATTCACGGTAATTATTTTATATCATTATTAGGCAGTGATTGAAAAAGAATCCTGCTTCATTACTCGCATGTATGGATCGGCATTTGTCGTATCAAATTTCGGTACATGGAAAGGGTATGAAGAAGTAAGGGGAATGCTTTGCGACTAGACTTTTAAAATAGTCGATTGAGTATTGTTTATACATACTTAGTATTGGTGAAACTGATATAACATGCTCCGTACGTACGTATATGTTTCGGGTCAGCAAACTTCAAAATACGAAACTGAGGTAAACAAGAATATACAAAAATAGTTGAAGTCACTCCATAATTTCCTTATAGGAAAACTAGAAATTTTAATTGGCATTTGTAATGCTGATATTTTTTCATATATTTAAAATTTAAATAATCACTAACATTGAATTAAAACTGAAAAAACTTGGAACTGAGAGTCAGTTCATATGATTCTACATATGTGAGATGCAAATATCCTTTGTACTATAAATGCTATCAATTTTTTTGATTCACCGATATAACCACGAGTATGTGAATAGTAATGATTACAGTGGATTATAATAGTGTATCTCTTCCATTAGGAGTATACGTCACCGATTACCATCTGTTATTAACGATAACTGTTCTGGAATTTTAAAAATTGATACTTTTTGCTTAGTGTTAAAGTGATAAAAGTATGAAGTCATTTTTGGAAGTTTGCTTGCTAAAACGTAATCAATATCACAGTTACTACAGCTGTCAGTTGTAGCAGATCGTTCATGTATTCAACAATTGTAAAAAATATTTCTATTTTTCGAATTAAAGATTTTTTAAATTCTGACTCTTCATTTATGTTTAAAACGAAAAGTATTGTTCAATATAATAATGACTGATATTTTGTTTAATTTCCCGTATTTCACATAAAAAAGCATACCGGACACAAAATTGAAAATAGAATTGGTAAGTTTAAAGGATGGAAAATATATATAGTCATTTGATTGCATATTTTTTATCACGTTAAGATGAGTTATCAGTTTTTCAGACTGATATCTTAGAATGATTGTAACGTACCCAACGTGGTGGTAGGAGAGTATGGTTGCCTTGTATTTATATACCTTTGAAAGTGACGGGATAGTTCGTAGAAGAGTAGTTGGTATATAAAGCGTCGGTAGTACTGTGTTTTATTTCACTGTGAAATTTCTGCATGATTTCTTAAGCACGCGTGAGACTGCCTCGGTGTAACTCAGCACAAGTCGGATTGGCCCGATTTTGCGCGGTGGAATTCTGTTTTAAGCATAAAGTTTTTAAAACTCTTGTACTGACTAACCTCTACGAATATGGGTTTACTATCCGAAGGGAATCCTTTAAATTGGGAGGAAACGAAGAACCTCGCCGATCATGTTCGAAAACATGGAATTATTCAATTCATTAACTTGTACAAGAGGCTTAGAGATCGACAGGGTGATGTGCTCAAGTGGGGTGATGAGGTAATATCCATTTTTCGATTTTTCTGACTCATACCATGCTTAGAAACTAGTTTTGCTATGTCATTACATGAAATGTTGAATACTCCAAGTAATTTTGAAATACGTTATCATGTACATCTTTTACAGTCGGTAGCATGTGTAAAAGTTTCACAACATTGTTTAATATATATTATTAATACATATTTCGTGATATAATGAAAAAAAACATTGAATTTGTACATGGTAAGTATTGTTTATCAGTAATTATAATAATGTAGTTTAATCATTTGGTTAGAAGTTACTTGATGCAGCTTATTTATATTTTGCATTAATTTGTATTGATTCGTATATTTATTATTTTTGTACAAGCATCATATTCTTTTCTTTGTGCTTACACTACATTGTTTTTCTATGATATTGATTGAGTTAATCAACGAATGCTGGTAGTAATTGTAGTTTGTGAACTATTATATAGAATGACCTTGAATTTCTTCAATTATACCATAATGCTTCTAGAAACATGAGTCAACACTTTTGGTTTGTCTATCTAATGCCACTGATATGTCATCAAATTTTTACAATGTTATCAAGATATCTTTTATCTAAACAACTATAAAATACCATTTTTTACATTATGCTTATATCAATTACTTTACACAGGTGGAGTATATGCTTATTAAATTTGATGATGAGGCAAAAACTGCAAAACTCAGCTTAAGGGCTGGAGAAATCTTAGAAACTTTAAATGAGAAAGAACATAATGATCCAGAGTAAGTATGCTTTATTTAATATCTCTATTCTTTGAATGAGGAAATTAAAACTCTAATATTAATAAAAAAATATTACAGCATTAGTGAAGAAATAATTACATCTATCATAAATATTATAATGTTAGATTTATGTGGTATTTTAAATTGTCTGATAATTAACAGTATCATATTATAGTAATATGTATTTCTTTTATAGCAATATTAAATCACTGTGGAGACCTGAATATGGTGCTTATATGCTCGAAGGAACACCAGGAAAACCATATGGTGGATTATTAGTTCATTTTAATGTTGTAGAAGCTAATATGAGGTATAGACGACAAGAAGCTTCAAAATTACTTCGGCCCAATGAAGTTTTAATGTCTTTGACTAATTTTCCAAGGTGTGTAAAAGTAGAGATTAACTATTACACAATACATACTGTAACAGCTTACAATCTTTTTTACAGAACTGGGGCTCTCGATTTTACAGATCCTACCACTCAACCAACTCCAAATTCTGGTGCATCGAGAAGTTTGTTTTTCCCAGATGAAGCCATATACCCAGGCCACCCACGATTTAAAACATTAACAAGGAATATAAGACAACGACGCGGTGAAAAAGTCACAATAAACATTCCTGGTATGTATCTATTGAATGTAAGAGTTTCATGTTTGCAGTGCTTTACAAATTACTCACGAATTTCAAGTTTAAAATGAAATGCTTCTTTACAGTATACAAGGATAAAAATGTTCCAAGTCCATTTAAAGAAAATTTTGGTACCTCAAGCGAGAACAAATCTAGTAGTGCAGCAAAAGAAGATCACATTTACATGGATGCAATGGGTTTTGGAATGGGCTGCTGCTGTTTGCAACTTACTTTTCAAGCTTGTAATATAGAGGAAGCCAGAACGTTGTACGATCAATTAACACCTTTATGCCCAATAATGGTTAGTAATATGTAACAGTATGGTTTATGTGTATTTTCGAGGTACAAAACACATTAAGTTAGCATATTGTTTCGCGCATACGTTACAGAACATTTGTTTAACATTCAACAGTTGGCTCTAACCGCTGCTAGCCCATTTTACCGAGGATACGTGAGCGACGTTGATTGTCGGTGGAATGTTATATCTTGTTCTGTCGACTGCAGAACACAGGAAGAACGCGGTTTGAAACCACTGAACGAAAATAAATTTCGAATCAGTAAGTCTAGATATGATTCGATTGACTCATATCTGAGCGAACAAGGAGAAAAGTACAATGACATGCCTTTAACGTACGACGTCGAGGTATACAAACAGCTTGTGGATAATGGAATTGATAGGTTACTGGCACAGCACATAGCTCATTTATTTATTAGGGACACTGTATCCCTGTTTTCGGAGAAAGTATATCAAAATGACGAGGAAGATACTGATCACTTCGAAGTAATTATCATTATCTTTACTAATTAATATTGTTGCTTTAACTTCATATACGAATCATTCCACGTGAAATCGTACACTTTTTGGAGCACCATTTCGAATTTTGTTCAAATTTGGATCTGTTGTAGTCTTTAGTGATATATAAACGTATCTCGAAGGATTTTTGAAAATTTTAAAAATGGTTGATTTTACAGCTGTTTGCAATTTAGGGTCAACCTTTTTTCAATAAATCGTAACTATTGAACCAATCAACTGATCAAAATGAGCTTTGTGGGTACTTACAGTGGAGACATAAGAATACCAAATTAAATACTTCCCCGATATAAAAATAGGGCATTCATTTTAAACAATTGCAAAATAGATGGTTAGAAAATATTTTTTTTGTAACTGAAATAATTTTTCTTTGGTATTCTTATGTGTTGAAGAAAGGTTGACCCTAAATTTCAAACAGCTGTAAAATCAACAAATTAAAAAATGTTTAAAAATCCTTCTAGATACGTTTATATAACGCTAAAGACTACAACATATCCAAATTTGAACAAAATCCGAAATGGTGCTCCAAAAAGTATCCGATTTCGCGTGGTATGGCCCATACGTTATTCTACATAAATTATATGTAACTTTTTTAGAATATTCAGTCTACCAATTGGCAAACAATGCGATTTAAACCACCTCCACCGAACTCTTCTATAGGATGGCGCGTTGAATTTCGACCGTGCGAGGTTCAAATCACCGATTTCGAAAATGCCGCAATAGTCTGTTTTATTGTACTCCTTACAAGGGTTATTTTGAGTTATAAATTAAATCTGTTGATACCAATCAGCAAAGTCGACAAAAACATGGCCAGAGCGCAAAGGAGGGATGCGGTCAAGACTGAAAAATTTTGGTTCCGCCGAGATATTACATCGGATCCGAAAAAACAAGATGATGAACAAACGGAATATACAGAGTATACCGTCGATGAAATTATCAATGGAAAGGTATTAGAATTCTTCTTTATTGAGTTAAATAAACTCATACAACTGAGGTAAGGAGACTAAAACTTGCTACTTGATTCGCAGGATGGGGTGTTCCCTGGTTTAATACCGTTAGTAAATTCATACTTGGCTAGTATGGATGTAGATGCTGATACTCACTGTACAGTACAAGCATACATGAAACTAATACAAAAGAGAGCATCTGGAGAGTTATTAACAACTGCTGCATGGTTGAGGAAAGAAGTTGTTTCGCATCCAGAGTACAAGTAAGTGTTTCTTTTTATTTACGTGTGCGTAAAATATAAAATTTACTAGATTATTTTATAATTATTACGATGGTATATTTTAATGCAGAAATGACTCTGTAATAACGCAACGCATAAACTACGATTTATTAAAAAAGGTACAGAAGATTGTATCGAATGAGATATCATGTCCAGAGCTACATGGAACATGTATATCGTCGAAAACTAATGAGACTATACCTGCAGCAGTTGCAAAAGCAGAAAAAATTCCGTTATCTATGAATTGTTAATGGTAATGTACTTAAATAGATACTAGATAATATGGCGAGATTTTAATTTATTTTACTACACTGCATATATTGTACATACTTAGCATGAGTGATCAATATTCTGGCACAAATACTTAACGCTAGATGTTTGTTTTCAACAGTTCAGCAATTTATAAATAGTTACATTCCAAGGAATAATTTTAATTTTTAGAATATTAAAACTGTGACCGTTTGTAAAGATGCTAATACTTTCAATCATAAAGAATACAACCACATTGTAAAGTTTGTTTATATAGTTATACAGAAATAATAAATTACAAAGAAACATATATTTTGTATCTTAATATCAGAGAAATATAGAAAAATAAAATTATTTTATGCCACGTTACATATAATGGATGAATAGGAAACAAATGAATTGAGTTCAATTCCTTTGTCCATTATTTTTTATAACACTATTATTATATTGTTTATAGTCAATGTCATTGTCTGTTTTTATTTTTTTTTTAAATAAGTTCTTATTGCTCTGCCACGTGGAATATTTAAATTGTAAAATTTGAGAGCATGAATATTTGTATTATAAAAATAAACTATGATTTACACATCTTGAAAAGATTCTAATTATTTCTTATACCTATTCGTGTGTTCTTAGACAGGTCCTATAGGAAATGTAGGTATTCCATAATAGAGCTACTGATTGCACTATTAAAACCTGATACTGCAGAGGTATATAATAAAAGTTGAGTAACTGAACCATAGGCCAAATCTGCAAAGAAATGTTTTACTCCAATAATTTTAAACTATATGTAGAATATCATACAAGATTCGGTTTATTGTGCACAGCATTGAATGTTACCTTATAATTACTTTTCAAAATATCTGTGTATTCATTTCCTAATTTTACTTTCAAATTTTGTATATCATTCCCTTGTAGAAAACCAATTGCAGATAATAAAACTAATAAAAATGTTGGTGCAAAAAGCAGTTGATCATAGCACACTTTTTTAAATACTACAGTTCCTCCTTTAGAACCAATATGTTTATCTAATATTTCATACCAAGTTCGTGTCACTGGACCCTGTTACATAAGTTTGAGCGAATAAAATTTTATATAACAATTACTTTAAATATTTCAATATTGGGAGTACTCACTGCAATAAAAAAACCTATACTTGCAAACTGAGCTGTTCGTACTAAATCTAAGTCCTGAATTCTCTTTCGTTCAACTAAGTTTTGTGCAATCTGATCTCCCAGTGCCATCAATGTACCTGTTTATTTAACAATACAAGAATAAATGGGAACAATAACTACATAACAATCATACAATAAATATTTTATACTATTTTTACCAGCTTGAATAGCTTGTACCCTCAATGGATATTTTGTTAATAATTTCTTATACAATTTCAAAACACCTCGCATGTTCGTAATAAATGCCATAACCACCAAATCAATTATAAGAGTTTTCTATGTACATAGATTATGTAGTAAAAAAATATGAATTATGATTACGTATATTCTCCTCTAATCCAAAGAGTAAATGTTACAAGCATGTGTCTTCTAAACGGCACATTTAAAACGATTATCAGTAAAACACGTGACTCTTCAAACACAACGTGTTTTTGACATATACATATAACAACATTGAATAACATATAATCTTGAACTACTCAAGAATGTGAAGCACGTGTCGGGTGTCGCTCAATTTACATTTAATTTTACCCTACAAAATTATACCTTGTGATACATATTATTATCCATCTTATTCATATCGCATGCATATGCACGTACATCAAATATCTTAGTCTAAATAATGAAATTCAATTCTACAGAGTTTTAATAACTTTGCCTCTATAAACAAATGAATATTTCTATTACTGTATAGTTATATGTCCATCGTATTTCCGATTGCATCATTAACCGCAGTTGGTCATACTGCTGAACTGACAGTTTGATTAGGAAATGGTTGTGAAGTAAAGATGGCAGTGGGAGGTGGTGCACGAATTTTTCTCCTCGTAATTTTATGTATTTTCTTGTTGAAATCATGTAACGGGGCCGCGACAGACATTGAATTAGATGCTAAGGCACAGTTGTTGCACAGACTCGATAGTTTGAATCTCCTATTATATACATTTCTATTAATATTAACTGTTTTAACAATATGGACATTTAAGCATCGTCGACTCAGGTTCCTCCATGAAACTGGTCTAGCTGTCATTTACGGTAAGTCGTCTGCTATAACTGCTGTTTACGTGTATAATCATTAATTGTCGTGTATTGTGCAAGTTTTTATTTTAGCTTTCAATTGTAGCTATAAAAATACATTCGTTTCTTCGTAGTTGTATGTACATACGAATATGGTAAATTCTTTTTTATTTAAAGCACGCATTTTATACTGTAAAAATGCAATATAAATTTTTAATCGCCTTTATAGATATACAATCGTTTATACAGGTTGAAATTGTTTTTTACTTCATTTGAAGAATCCAGTACAAGATAATTTTTATAAAATCCTTTTTTAGAGATTTTAGTATTAACATATTTTTTTAAAATGAAATCTTATCAAATGGGAAGGTGTATGAAGTGTACTTTTAAAAAAGTAAAAGAAGTCAAACATTATATACTGCAGAATATTTATATGAAAGCTAAATATTTACATGATTATCAATCATCACTATCATCGGTAATAGAAATTTTAATTGTATGCACTTCTATGGATGACATATATTAATAGACCATAGGAAAATTATGTAATGGAAATTCCAGTTATGTAAATATTCAGGGACACATACCTCTGTAAATGAAATTGTTAAATAAGTGTTCTAAATACTTTGAAATAATTTTAAATTAATTTTTATTATATGAATTTGTATGAATGAATTTCAGGATTAATTATAGGAGCAATAATTCGTTATGGCTTTAGAACAAACAGCACCATTCTCCATATGCCTGTTGTGCCAGACAACAGTAGTAAATACAACCAATCAGTTCCTCCTGATACGCTATGGTTACGTTTTCCAGAAGATAAAGGAGGTGGTGTTATTAAGAACAAAACGTTTGCTTATTCCTTCCGAGGAGAAATTTATAAACAAGATAATGAAATTGATCTAAAGGTAGCATAGTAAAACAATTTATTAAAAGTGTCTGACTCAATGTTGTTGAATATATTTTTAGAAAGTAATTCAATTATTACAGGCCACCTTTGATCCTGAAATATTTTTTAATATTATTTTACCACCAATCATTTTTCACGCTGGCTACAGCTTGAAGCGGGCAAGTATTGTCACTATATGTTGTACTATTTTATTTGTCACAAATACTTGGTATAATTGGTTCTGTAAATTTTTGATTTCAGAAATACTTTTTTAGAAATTTAGGAGCAATCCTTATGTATGCTTTAATTGGAACAACAATTTCAGCATTTGTTATTGGGTATGTGCTTGTTATTTATGATAAATATATCGGACCTAATATGTAAACATGTATTTTCTTGTTATAGCAAAGCTTTTATAATGAGTAATACTTGTGATAATTGGGTGTCCATAGGTCATTTAGATTGAGCTTATCTCTTATTTTTTTCATTGTCGGTAGACAGGATGGAAAAATATTTGCCCAACGAATACACTTAGATACATTTTTCTTTGTATATTTCACTTATGGACATATTTGTTATTTTTTCGTTTACTTTTTCAGGGCTTTGATGTATGCCTTTGTACAATTAATACCACACCTTTCTGCGTCATTCACATTTTTGGATACTTTATATTTCGGAGCATTAATATCTCCTACGGATCCGTTGACAATAATTTCTATTTTTAATGATTTACATGTAGATGTGAATTTGTATGCTTTGGTATTCGGAGAAAGTGTTTTAAATGATGCAGTTGCAATCGTACTTAGCGGGTAAGTACAAGAAAGCATTGAAATCTTTTACAATTAAACTTACATGCAATAATATTTGTAAACAATAATGCACATTCTGCTGCAGTTCTATACAGAATTATGGAGAACGTTATCAGTCAGGTTCTGGTGGATTTGAAACTGTAGCATTTTTCCAAGCATTTGGCGATTTTGTCGGAATATTCAGTCTATCTTTATTTATTGGTGCTACAATGGGCTGCATTACAGCGTTGTTAACTAAATTCACCAGAGTCAGAGATTTTCCTCTACTAGAGTCGGCATTATTTGTGTTAATGTCGTATAGTACTTTTTTGATTGCTGAGGCGTCTGACCTTACAGGTAACAGAAATTAATACAGTAAGAAATAGTGTATGAACGAAACTTATTTTTTTTAGTAATGTCACTGTTAATTTAAATATTTTTTTTCTTTTATATAGGCGTGGTTGCCGTCTTATTCTGTGGTATATGTCAAGCACATTATACTTATAACAATTTAAGCCCAGACTCGCGTCAACGAACGAAACAACTGTTTGAACTTCTGAACTTTTTAGCTGAAAATTTTATATTCAGTTATATTGGTGTTTCGATGTTTACATTCCCGAAACATCACTTTGATCCAGGATTTATTTTTGCAGGATTTGTATCCTTAAATCGTTGCATTAGTCTCGATACTAATAGCTTGGAATACTTTCACAATCTACGTTCTTGAAATAAAATCCTTGACTTCGTTTTTTAAAGCTATGCGCATTATTAGGCCGCGCAGCGAATGTATATCCGTTATCATTCATATTAAATTTGGCACGGAAGCCGAAAATATCGCTGAATTATCAGCATATGTTGTTCTTCGCTGGATTACGAGGAGCTATGAGCTTCGCTTTAGCCATCAGAAATACCGTGTCAGATGCTCGACAAGCTATGTTAACAACAACAAGCTTAATTGTAATTCTGACAGTCATTTTCCAAGGTGGAGCAACCACTCAATTTTTAAGCTGGTTTAATATACCGTGAGTTTACTTACTGTTACTTTTAATAATTATTTGTACATGTCTGATTACTTAATAGTGGTTATATTCAAACCGACTACGTTCCAGAGTTGGAGTAGATGAAGAAATAGAAGGATTATCACACAATGGAATGCGCAGTGTGAGTATTTTAGTTTTATTTTTTGCAGTATTGCATTAAAGTTATTTCGCACTGATTTCACTGAAGTAATATAAGATTGAATTTGCACTAACATAATTTGCGTGCTAGGTTTGGTTCTCATAAATTATCGATGTAAATAAAAGTGATTTTACTAATAGCTCTACGAAAGAAGAAAAACGAGTATTAGCTTGTATGTTGTTAGTATTCAGTTTAAAGTATTTTTTTTAGTAACTTTAGTAAATGTTTTTTAGCTGATAATTATCTCTATTTCTTTGGAATAACACATTACGTAGATGTAGCAGAGCTTTATCTGTTTCACACAATACGAAAAAAAAACAATAGCACAAAATCTGTATCTTATTCTTCCTCAGTAAATTCAAATGACTGTCGAGAGAAAAATTTTAATAAGATTGTTTAACTTTGAAATACTTTACGGATCATTCCACGCCATGTGGATTACTTTTGTACACAATGTATGCGAAATCCCAAACATCGTGTACAAGAGTGATTCGCTTGGCGTGGAATGACTACGTAAAAATCTAGTCTGTAATGTCAGAAAGCATCTCAGTAGATACAAAAATGTACTTTAATATTCATATAGATATTTAATTTTACGTATTTGATACTAATAAGTACTGTGTCAATACATATTTTATTATAAATTTGTAATTTTAATTCCAAATATGTTTAAGTTCATCGCGATGAACTTAATGAAAACAAATTCTTCCGATATTAAGTAATCGTAATTATAAAGAATTCAAAGAAAAAACTGCTTCGATCATTGATATTTCTGGATCACCTATATTTGTAATGTACACATACTTATTTAATTTGTGCACATTGATTTAAAACTCTGGAGTATAACAGTGTTTTCTTTAGAAGGATTTTTATGCAAAGGTATTCACGCATGAATGCTTTACATCACATTATTCGTATACTACTATTTTTTTTGTCACCCATTATACCCAGGTATCTCTGAAGTATGATGGTCTGCATTTTTAATGTCATTAATTTACAATGAAACATTCCAGAGATTGTACTTTCCGTAGTCATTAATTATTTGAGAAGAGTATATTTACTAACATTATTTTTTATAGTTACACTTATATAATATTGGGTTACTGATGCACAAAAACTACTAATATTATAGTTTGCACTAGAACTTAACATTTTCAAAGATCCAGCATGTCTATTACATTATAATGAAATGTGTAAGAATGCTTTATTAACTCTACATAATTACGCTTGATAATTGATCTTAAATACTGGAATTATAACTTGCTAATTTTAATAGTCTGGTGGCGAAGGTGGCTTTGGCGATCTGGACATGCGTAGGGAGAGAAGTCCTCCGGTATGTTTTCTCATCAATTCAAGAATTGAATTATATTAATCGCGTGGTCACAAACAATTTGTATATTCGAAGTTTTGTATAGTAAAAATGATCAATTTTTTGTATTTATTTTTTTGTAGCACATTTTATATTTTCTTACGCAATTGTATAGAATGTAAATTACTAGTTTTGTGCATTATGACTGGTATTATAGGAGTTGCTTTCTGTCGTTAATAGATATTCAAAATAACGAAACTTAAACAGAAAATTTAGTAAAAATTATCTTATTAAAATGTCTGCAGTGACCACCAATGATGAAGCAACATAATAGTGGTGTATATTATAAAAGAAAGAACGTTTTGGACATTATCAGAGTGCTTTAACATTTCATATTTACAGATAAACTTTCGTAATTAATTTAGCTTAATTATTCTTTTGCTAGATTTAGCTCACTGAAAAATTATTTTAATCACAATATTAACAATTTTACGGACGCTTATGTTAATTTTTTTTCCTATACTTATCGGTGTAAAAGTTAAATTAATTGCATCATGTAATGCAGTGTTGCTAAAACCATGGGCTTTATATTTAAAGTTATGATTTTATTTTCATCGAGTATCAGTTTAATTTCGTAACAGCATGCGCTTAAATATTTCTTTTAGTATCGTTTTTGTTATCCATTCTGTATGTTGATGATTGGTAGCATACAAAATATTTATATATATATATACATATATTTATATTCATTAACAAAACATATGCAAACATAATTAACAGGGTACACTGATGTAAATGATGAACAATTAAGCATGTTCATTAATACCTAATAACACTGAATATATTGTTACACAGAAACTTTGATTAATATTAATATTTTCTGAAACTACTATATGCATACTTTAATTATTTTTTTATGTGGTTTAAATTGTTTCATCCGAGATTAATGATTTTTTAAATGTCTTCGATAATTATAATTGTATATTTAATTGCGTTCGATGAAGATATCATGATCATACAGGATGGATAATCGAAATGTCCTTCACATTTCACAGTATAATTCTATACAGGATGGATCGTTACCAGGCAGTGGTGCGAAACCTAATGAAAAAGCATTACTTGCCAGAATCTGGGGCGATTTTGATACTCGCTATATGAAGCCACTTCTAACTCACTCCAGGCCTACATTACTGGAGACACTACCTGTGTGTTGTGGTCCTCTAGCCAGGATTCTTACGACAACACAACAAATGACACAGGTATAGAATAAATGTTTTCTTTTTTTTTTCAATCAAACTGTTATGTCACAGTACTCGACACCGTAGTTTTTGTATTATAGGACGAAGCTATTAGAAAAGCAGATTCAGATTCTGATTTTTGCCTCGAAGATCGTGAAATGGAACGACGAAGGACTAGTGTTCAACCGGTGAGTTTTCATCAACCTAATCTCAATTACACTATTAATCCGTGCTATCAACCTAACAACACAGATGCCACTAATCCAGACGAACCTTATGTAATTCTTAACTTACACAGAAGGTAGAAATAAATGTATTTCAATGAAAATATTTAGATTTTGTACAAAACTGATATTCGTACATGAAAATATTTTGTACATTGTTCCAAATGAGTCCATCATTTGTAGCTGATTCTCCTGTAATTATATTTTACACACCACTTTAAATTATCTCTTTGTCATACCATTTACATATGAACAGTCTTGAAAACACATGTACAACATAGTCTTTCCATTTTATATGAAAGTACAAGTTCAGTGTTTAGGATAACTCTTTCGTTTCTATTTAACGACTCAAGCTTCCTCTGAATATTTATGGCAGTTAATATTGAATTCACTAACCCCAACTATGCTTTTCTAACTTGATAGATAATTGCTTATGCCAAATTCTTTCATATAAAATGTGTTGATATGCATGAGAAACTCATTTATCTTCACTGTAGAAAGGCAATGATATACACGTGACCGATTAAATAGCGTACATAATATGCAATTGTAAAATGTTATTTATGTATAGCCAATATACATATACATATATGTATATATTAATTGCCAATGGAATAGAATGTTCGTGTGTAAATTTTGTTCACAACAAGAAAATATTATTATGTATCGCTGTTTATCGTAATTAGGTTTTATGGGTTATTAACAATACCAACAATATTTCTACACTGATGGAATATAAATTAGTTATAAAATATGCTGAAGTTGAAATGCCACTGTATAGGCATATAGTGTTCTCGCTGAAGTTATTTTACAAGTACAGTAAATGTATGCAACTATTCTAGTCACTGATATTACCTTTAATAAACACATGAAGAATTATTGAGTTAGAATTTATTCAAAGATCAGTATGTGCGATACTCTACAGCTTAACACTTCCTCGTTCACGTAACATAGACTAGTTCGATACGAAATGACACGTTTTATTTATGGTTTCTGCATAGAATTTAATTTTACTATTACGCTCTTAATTTGAAAATTATGTTTAATGTCTGCTGATATAGCTATACCCGTTAAATGTTAAACTGGTGTTTCTGTTCATTCAACTTAAGCGCCGAGAACTTGTGTTTTTGTCCAGCTTTTTCTTTACCAATTTAAAGCAATATCTCGAGTCTACATTTGATCGCGCTCTTACCGATTTTTTTAGAGAAAAAGAAATGATGATGATGACGATGATGATGATGAAGACCTAAGAATCATTGGAATGGAAGGATTTATTCCGTTACGAACATTGTAATGGGACAGAAACCATTGAAAATAGTATTTTGAGAAGATTATTTTTAAAGACTTTGTAATACGTACTTCTGGGGTAGAAGAAACAACTAACAGTAATCACTTCGTACGGAACGTTTTCGATGATACTTTCACTTCAAGTTTTTTTATGTTGCTGTGAAATAAGATATGCATTATTAGCTAATATTTCCATAATTTTATACAGATAAAAAAGAAAAACGTTACGTGAATTCCTTTATTTAGAAAACCATTTAATGGTTATTCATTTTATCGTATTCAATTCACAGCATATGTTTATACGTTATATTTTGTTTAAATTATTAGGAAATGTTACTGAAACATTATGCCGATTGTATTTTTTTGAAATGTTAGCGATAAGGTGAAAAGATAATGTTGGCGCAAAAATTATTTATTTGTTGTCACTGCTCTAAGACCTTGTTGGCGTGATAATGTGATGTATTTTAGCATGAATGCAGTTTACAAAAATCAGAGGGGATATACATATAGTACCTAACAACAAATTTTTCGACTGTGTATATATATATTGTGATTTCTTTGAAAGTAGAACAATTATAAGGAGGGATCTAATACAGGCAGAATGTACAATAAAAAGTTACATGAAATTGCCAAACATCTTAGGGATATTAATAACTGAACATTAAACATAATTTTCAGTATTCAGTGAATCTGTGAGCTTTCTACTTTAGTAACCACAGATGTTATTAACAGGTTGAGGGTGTAGATATTGATCCCTACAGTTTTTAGTTCTCTTTTACATTTTCCACATTTCGTCTATCGTACCTATATAGTTGTACTGGCAAAGGTTCTAGTTCAAATCTATCTTTTACTGAATGTTATTGCATGAGTAATGAGAAACCAAATCACTTTCCAGCCATTAATTTTTACATTAAGAATGCTCTTTAAAATTTGCCGCTTGCACATTACTTACGCTGTTAGTAACAAATCATTTCTATAGAGAAAAGTTATTCCGTTTCTTCTGCGTTCTTTGTATTATTAAAGAAAAATTCTCACTGTACAATTACCATATACAACTCTTTAGGTGTTCCTTACATGACACTGCAAGCAGCATAATGCACACATCGGTATAACTAAGTGTTACATACCATATTTTATTTAAAATATACAATTTTATGACAAGTTGTATTAGAATTATCGAAGTTTCATTTAACATCTTTCACATTATGGTGCAATCGGCAAGCAATTTATTCCGCTAGCGACAAATGTCTTATATTTGTACAGTTAAAATAGCCTTTTTAGTTATGTATAAATTATTTTTTATCATACTACTACCTATCTTCCTAGTTCTTCTTGTTTTTTTTTCTTTGTTTTGTTTGTATTGCTTATGTCTATTTGGTTTCTCCACAGACACAAGTAAGGAGCCCCCCAAACAGAACACATTTATAAAAGTGAATTTAACATACTTTATTGATAATGAGTTGTATACATTTTTGAAGATTTGGCTCCAATTATGTTTTAAGTATTAAGCGGTATTCATATTTTCCCAACATGCCATAAACATTTTTATCATTTAACATTATCTTGTTACTTTTCATAAATCCTGATTCAGTGTATTTAATTTCTAATAGATGTAATTATTCTGTTACTAGATAAGTTTGAATTTCTTAAAATGATACAAGATGTATATGTATGTTTTCTGGTACATTGTAACTAATACCTCAAATAATACTTAGCGAGAAAAAATGACCTAGGTATGTGCATATGCATTCTTGGTGTCAAACAATATTGCTGCTATACTACAGTTTTTGTAAACGTTGATCATATATTTCTGGCATTTGTTTTCTTTCAAACATATCGTTCAGTATTTTGTACAAGATAAAAAAAGCATTAGCAACAAAAATTTTGATGTAAGTATTGCTGTACTGAAAGTCAATAACAAGGAGGAAGTAAAGTACGAATTGCCTTTCGTAACTTTAAAAATTACAATATAGATTTCAGTTAATTGAAATACAATTACTTGTACTTCATTATTTTAAGCAGTTCAAACGATACTTGAAATTTAAAAAGAAGAGCGGGATAATGTGAACTGCAAACCAAACCTGCCTCCTTGTTTGATAGGGTATTTCTAATCATATTTTTGTTGAAAGAAGTTTCTATCCAAATGTTTGTTTAATTCTCTGTATATGTTATGTATAACTTTTCAAGAATGATTTTAATTAGTAATTTTAATTTACACAAAATTGATCATAAGCTTAATAGTTGTATTTCGTATACCACTAAATAATATGTAAGAACCGAGAGATGGATTCTTGATGTGTTTAATACTTTGTGGGGCAGCTGGGAACTGTGATGGGAGAAGTTATACCGGGACCACTACCACTGCACACACGCGTCGCCTTGCCAGGTTTGGTTGGGAGACATTTGTAAAGACTAACTTATATATTGGTAAACAAATTTACCTTCCTAAATATAATATACTGTATGTTCAACTGATAAATGTATTCATTTGAAAGGCTTATAATCTGTGCAGACTATTATGTCTAATACAATATTACCTGTCGTTAACTTATAAAGGTATTCCCAGTATCAGCTGCCTTTATTTATTAGTATAAATTCTTCTCAATCATTATGGAATCAACTTTTTATCAATGTATATTATTTCTCTAAAATACATTAACATGAGAATGAATACAACTCAGCGTTACATTCACTTTGTAATCGATATATATCTTAAATTTTACTATTTATTTTTAAATTATTTTTTCCTATTTGGTTGTCATTAATGCCAGATTAGATGAATATTTAAATTCTTGAATAAACAGCTTGTATGTGCGTGCGTGTGCGTGTATGTGTGTGCCATGTTCAGATATATGTACATTTATTGGTTGTACTAAGTTTTTGTGGTCGACTTAAATTGTTCATTACACAGAAAAAAGGTAACGATTATTTATGTAAATTTGCTGTTTTTAGTTGTTATTATTTACTATTTAGTGGAGGTCCTGGCTTGTAATAATTACTAGAGAAAATATTTATGTTGAAATGCTGTCGGATTGGATACACTCAAATAACAACTTACATCTATTACGTATGTATTGTGCATTCAAATGTAATAATTGAGAAACCTATTAAATGATAAACAAAGTTTAAGGAATCGTACTTTTTGTTAGAAACACTATATTTATATAAAATTTTTGCACTGATACTGTGACAATAAATTAACATTTTTACAGCAAAAATTTAGTGTATTGAAAATACTAATCTCTTAATAGACATTAATCATAAATTTTATACGATATTAAATCGTTATATTTGAATGCATTTTGCACTAATTTCGTGAGAGCAATCAGTTATAATTACAACACAATTATTTGGGCATAGAACTTAATTTGTCGTTCGGCAAATTGATTTTGCTGACATATACAATCACATTTCCATTAAAGGTGCAGGACACTTAGTGTATGATGATATTAAGATCCATACTTTTATATTATAATTTGTAATTGTATATGCATTTTTAAATTATAATGAATGAATAATCGATGTCCAAGTTAAAGTAATTCCCAAACATGGCAAATAAAATTAGTGCCAAAGTTCGTACAGTTGGAAGGACTACAAAGGAAGTCGCGAATCTTTTGTATGAAAACAATCGCAAATGAAAGTGTAATATGTTTCAAGTATAGGATATGTATAATTAGAAAGAAACGAATACATATTATAAGAACATAAATAAATCGAAATTGCCCGAAAAACATAAGCTAATTATTTTTTACAAACACATAGTATTGTCAACAACAACAATATTTAAACATTTATAAAATTATTAAGCATCGCTTTATAATGTTTTGTGTACTGCTGTTTGATGTACATAATGTACAAGTGCGTTTAAATATGATTTATCACCGACAGGATTGAAATCACAAATACAGACACATTGAATATAAAAATGATGAATAATAATATTTGAACTCTTACTTTAGATGTTGGCTGTGAACATGTAACAAAACTATTTGAATATGTAGTTTACATACTAGAAAAGAATATTCAAAATGCAGCATATATAGAAACTATATCTACAACATGTGTATGTTATTCTTTTTACGATTACATGTATTTACTTAGTATGATAGTTTAGTTATACAAAATAAATTATGTTAATAGGCTTATAAAATTGCGTCATAAGCAGGATTTTAGCACATAGTAATTAAAATGCTCTTTTCTATATACACATTTATGAATTGAATATATAATAATTATTATGTATACAATACATATAGACTACAGATGTTGTGATACTATGTACTACACTTTACAGTGTTTAATAAAGTATTTGTAAAAATAAATTTAAAATATGTTAAATGTAATTACTTACAGAATTAAGATTTCGTTGTTCCTGGGAGTTCTAAAAAATGTTAAGGGATGACGAGTTGTATATCAAACTTAATTAAACTCTTCCATAATGGACATTAGCAATAAAATCCGCCAGGACCCGCGAATAATTAAATACGCAATGAATTAGGCGCGTAAAAGTGAACGTCAACACCGTCAACACCATCTGGCGGTTC